ATAATATATCATGTCATATCATATATAATATACCTACTGCTATAGGCAACCACACAGACACTAATTGGAATGTTACCAAAATCTCAATTTAATGTTATTAATAAAACTCTTTATTCTATTACTAATGAAATTAAGTACCCAATTATGCACGGCTTCGTTAGTTTTGGTTCTGCCCGGCCTCGACTTACTTCGGACGTTTCCGGAACTTGATGAGTCACGGGTTTGGAAATGATCGGTAGAATTTAGCAGCCTATTTTAACGACTGTCAACACTGAAGGCCGCGGGTCACGTTACTCAGTAAATGAATGTACTAAAAAAAAATTTCAGTCACTCGCATATTAAGCACTCGCTCCGCTCGTGCCAAGAATTGTGCTCGTGACTAGAATACCGTTTATCAAATTTGCTGCATAATATAATCTTTCGTTCTTAAATGTAGTTTTACTACTAGTACAAACTATACCGTATTCAGTCCTTCTCGACTCGCTCTACAACGATGGAAAAATATATAATGGGTACTGATGCGTTCCGGGCCTTACTCGACTTAAGGCTCTTTAATAGCAGGTTTTGTTGCCGCAACAAAAATGGCAGCAATTTCATGAGCATGGTATAACCGCGGTTTCTTAGTTGCATAGAGAAATACAACAGTTTGTAATACTAAATTTCACAGAATAATACAGGGTGGTCCGTAATGAATGCGCCAAAAAGAAATGCTAGATGAAACTCGTTACGATGATGATATTGAGCCATATATGCCTTCTAAAATGCCGCTACGTTCCATTCTTTCAAATATCTAGAGGTACACCTCTCTACAATCTCGCTAGATTATAGTAAAGTAATGCTCTTTTGTATACTGATTGTACAAGGAGTCTCGTTTTTTGGACCTGAGAGTATTAAAATGCAAATATCTCGAAAACCGTGTGCTTTATCGAAATGAATGTAGTATACTTTTTTTACCTTTTTTATTTTCAAAAACTGCTTAGGCCACAGGCAATTAACAATTTCGAGATCTAATCTTTAACACCCCGTAACTCAAAAAATTATAATGAAAAAAATTATAATGAAATATTCGGAAGTTTGGCTATCATCATGTTCCGCGAGAGCCAATTCAAAAGCTCCGCAAAATTTAATACAATTAATAATTTTTTTTCTACTCGCTTCTGTGAAATACCTAATTATACACCGATTTAGCGTGCGGAAAGTGTCGGACATTTCCGGGATATTACCGCAATCGGATGTTTTCGGAGATTTTACCGCACGGCTTGAATTCTGACGTTTATGGATTCTGACAGTCAGTGAATGCATTCGTGAACTAACGGTCGTAGAAAAAGTATAGTAAGCAACGCGTTTGGTAAACTTTTTAAGTCAGTCGTAAATTAAACACTCGCTCCGCTCGTGCCAATTAAACTCGTAACTCAAATCCCGTTTACCGCACTTGTTGCATGATATGCTATTGACACATTTTCATTATGTTTCTTTATGTTTACCCAATAAGCAGAATGTAATTGAGCCCTAATATTGGTCAACCCTAATAATGCAAATCCCATACATTTTGAGATCCGTGTTTCCGTCGAAACTTGATTCCCACCAAAAAGTAAGCAGGAAAAATATTATAGAGCATTTTTTTGTTACAAATTCAAATCCATTCATTTTTTGAATAAATGTCTACACTAAATTTCCGTATATAACTTTTTCCTCTACTTACACCGGCTTTTTCAATGATAATATCAGATAATTGCCTACCTTATGCTTTTAATTCTGATTTTTCTTAGTATGAATATTTAAAAAATCTCTTTGCATTAATTAAATTAAAGACTACCTCCATAGTTTACAGTGAATATAAATTATCAGAAATACACAAAAACACACGCACACGCACTCGATTATTATTGTTTTTACGTTCAACATGCCGCGCCGCAAACCAGTAAACCACCAGAAAATTCGATATTTATTAACTAGGATTGTGGTCAAATTTTTTTATGTCAATTTACCGAAATAATTTTAAAAATACCATAAAATTTATTATTTATAATTAGTATATCTCTCAGAATGCGGGTGTCTGGTGATAAATTTTAGGAGACCGAAATATTGATACTTTTCAACAGTATGACTGACTAATTGTTTAGGTAACTTGTTCATCAATACGAAATTTTGAAATTAAATTGAAAAAATTTTCAGTGTCTCGACGATTTCCGAAGGAGTAGAACCAGAAATTTGGATATATTCCGACATCTCACTTCTCCATTTTTATTCTTAGATGTAAAATAATATCACAAAATAGGTGTTCGAAACAAGGTCCGAAACTGTACGCTAGATAAAAGCATCCGATTCAAATTGCTATTGAAAAAATCAAATACGTGATTACTTGCATTTTTGTGTTACATAGTGATTTCCTAAAAGACTTTAATGATTTCAAAATGCGTAGGTACTGTTGAATCTATAATTAAATGATGGTTCCTCATTTCACATTTCAACGTTCTCGGTTTTTGGTATGTCTAACGACACAGAATTTATTAAATAGTATATTATGCAACAAGTGCGATAAACGGCATATGACTCACGAGTGACTTAAAAAGTTTACCGAACGTGTTGCATAGTATACTTTTTCTACGACCTTACATTTTGAGTACATTAGCGCAAAACAACACGAATACATTCACTGACATAACCGTCAGAATTGACAAACGTCAAAATTCATAGCGTGGGAAATATATCCGAAAACATCCGATTGCTCTCAAACGCGTGCGCTAAAATCCCGGAAATGTCCGAAGTGGCTCGGATTCGTGGGAAACGAAACCGACGTGGCAAAATGACGCTTCCCGCAGGCTAGATCGGTGTGTAATTAGGTATTTTACAGACGAGAGTAGAAAAATATGTTTATGAACGTTCGATCGTCTGATTTGAAAAAAGTCGCAGAGCTCTTAACATGACGCTAAACCTGAATTTTCTAATATGCGGAGAACCAAATGGTAAATTGAACATCACAAACCCATAATGACTTATAACCTTCTCTCTCTTCGACGTTGCGCTGGGCTAACTGCAGCGAACTCCTTGGTTAAAAAAAAAACAACTCAATATTTCGTCAATTTATTTGTTGACTTCTTCAGAAGTGAACTAAAATTTAATGAAAACAACAGGTTTAAAAACAATCGTGAAAATTACTTATAACATTAGTGTTTACCACATAGTTCCTCAAAACAATACTCTACAGTTAAGGTAAATGAGCGAAGCGACATAATGAAACAAACGGATAAACACTTAGTACACACTTTTTAATAATGGTAGGCAAAAGTTGCGCTAACGGCGGTAGCGAAAAAACAATTAAAAAACAATCGATATAAATAGTGACAAAAGCATAAAAATAACCTACTACGTGGATCAACGAAGCAACGCAAATACGCTACTCGGTAGCCGAATATTATATTATCTGTTGTTTAACTGAAAAATGTTACAGTACATATTGTTTATTTGCTGTATACCAGACTTGTAGTTAATTGAATTTTTGTTATTGTCAATATGGCACATTTCAAGAAACAGTCGGGCTTTATAATTGTTGACACATTGCAATATTTTAGGATTGTTGTAGTCAAATTTATGTCCTGTTTTTATGTAATGTTCAACCACTGCACAAGTATTCTTATGAATAGGGCAATATATATATATATATATATATATATATATATATATATATATATATATATATATATATATATATATATATATATATATATATATATATATATATATATATATATATATATATATATATATATATATATATATATATATATATATATATATATATATATATATATATATATATATATATATATATATATATATATATATATATATATATATATATATATATATATATATATATATATATATATATATATATGTATATATATATATATATATATATATATATATATATATATATATATATATATATATATATATATATATATATATATATATATATATATATATATATATATATATATATATATATATATATATATATATATATATATATATATATATATATATATCGTCCTGTAAACTTAAGTGATTCAAACATATAACATTACGCCTAAGCGAGAGCAGATTTAAATGTGGACCTTAAAAAAGAACAATGCTCGCAGTCATTAAAACGAAGGAGAAAGCCTGTCCAAGAGGAAGCGGAAAATACGGAGCGAATGTAGCTGAGGCGTAGCGGCGAAGCGCATTAGAGCGCCCGTCCCGGAAATAGGCCGGAGATGAAACTGTGGCGTCATTTCCTCTAGACGTGCGGCGTCTTCGCAGGAGAAGTTGCATTTGCCGCCGTTCTACGTTGTAATACGAAACACTAATTCTTCGCCTGCTGGCGCCTACCGGACAGGAAAATCAATACTTTGTGTACATGTGTATTTGTGCAATTAGTCCGGTGTTAGGTACAGGGTGTCCGGTAATGAATGAGCCACATGTTTTTACAAAAAAAAAATATTACCATATCCAAAGTGTTCTGAAATTAGATATAAATATTTTGATCATGCATTCTGCTCCCTAAAGTAGAGATACAATTTCTTATAAACCACAAGGTCCACAGTTTTAAGGTCCAGGTTGCTAAAGGTGAACGGATTTCTATACATATTTAAATTTGGTACAGTGGCGTGCTAAACTTATTTAATTTTTAGGTTCCTGAGAAAATAGTTTCATAGACGTCTAAATTGTTCTTCCGTCTTATGAATTCGTACTTTCGAGGCTGTGTGTTTTTACGGTGTGAGCATATTGTCATATGATGCACACCACGAACCCTGCTTAATTTCCGTCTCTAGTCGCCTAATTTCTTTGTCGCAAACGACAAAATAGAAAATTACAAATTAGTCTATATAATTAAATTTGTGTCGACATCTGGCGGCGAATAGTTCGGTTGCATTTTTTAGAAAGTCTTTTACTTGAGAGAGGAATCTGTTGACGTTACTTATAACTTACACTGCTAGATGATGCTCCTTAGCTGACGTTGACGTTACAATGACAGCTGGATAACGTTATTTCTGACAACTTTGTCATCGGTTAAGAAAAATGATTTAAACAAAACCCATGTGCCAAAAATTACAAATTGAATGCAAATTAAAAAGGATCGCCGGACGATGTCGGATAAAAACCGGACGATGTGCAGCGATGCTGTGGAAAAAATAATTGGTAACATGACATCAGAAATACAAAGCAATGATGGCCAGTATGTCCCACTTGGATTCAGTTCTCCGCAAAATTTGACTGACCATATAAACTGGATGCCTCAATCGAATTCTTTTATGAATTATCCTGTCCAGTATTCTGATTCTCATTTGAATCATCCTTCCAGAGAGCATTTTCAGCAACCACAAGTGAACTTTATTCACCAAAATGCTGCGATGTTTGAACCAGCTTTGTTTCAGAAAAATATAAATTTGTCCGATTTCCATCTATACAAAAATAGCGTAGCTCCTCCACCCATTTACAACAATTATTTACCAGAAAACACAATGTCTGATGTCTTGCCTGAATCAACTACTCTTCCGGCAAATCACACACATCTGATAGAGAATTTGGTTGGTAACTGGGTAGTTCCAAATAATAGCGGAACTTACACACCATTTGGCTGTTCTGAAACATTTAAACCAAATGTTTTTGATATTCAAAATCATACAGATGTAGGTTTAGACCCAAATGAGGACATGAAATATCCAAATGTTGCTGAAATAACTATAGATGATAAATTTAATTTTAATAGAGACAGAAAACCTCGCATGGTGGCAGAAGTCAAACCTATGCGTCCAAGTTATTCAGATGTGCTTACAAAACCTGTCCCCTCAACATCTGCAAAATTGTTAAAGAGTGATGCTAAGGAAACAAAACTAAAAAAGGAGAGTAAGAAAAGTAGTAAGGCAGAGAAAGCCCAAAAAGTGGGAAGTCAGTTGAGTCGCAGTAACACAAATAATGACATAAAAGACATACCAAATGATAAATTTTTCACTTACAAAGCTGAAAAGAAGATTGCAAAAACAAACCAGTTGAATCGAAAGTGGGCTTCATTAGATGATATCAGTGAACCAAGTGCTAATAAGATAGAAGAAAATAAAAAGAAAAAACAAGAGGAAAATGTAAACAGAACAGTCAATAAGCCATTAAAGAATAAAATAAATAAAACATTAAATAATATTCCAGATTTTCAATCTGAATCACTAAAACCAGAAACATATAACATAACTAAGAATAATTTGAAAAAAAATAAAATTAGCTCAAAACAAAAGCAGGGTGAATTGCAAAATGTATCTGATAGACCTACTGCTAAAAGAACTCAAAGGAATAAAAAGAAGGAAAATCATGTACCATTTGGTGAGTTAAATCATTTCATCCATAAACAACCCATTACTTTTAACTTTAACCTTGTGCTATTTGTATTTGCTTATTGCTAATTTTTTGTAATTAAAAACAGGCATTAATTGTTGATATAATTTTTTTTTAATTATAAATTTTCTTCCCCAACTATTTTTTTATTGTCATTTGAAGTTATCTAAGTATTGTTATATGCCATTATTATAAATTATAAATTACCAGCCCATTTACTTTACCGAAACACACTTTTTGAACTTTGAAAAATTAACAATGGTTTTCATTATTACCTTATTTGTTTTCAGCTCTATTTCAACAAAAAATTAAACACTACACAAAAGACTGGTGGAAAGTGATTGCTACACTTATGTTCTGGCTTCTTCATTTAATATCAGATATTTGCAGCCTCAGTGTACATCTAGGAAGAGATTTGTAAGTTACACATTGTAAAAATTGCAAACTGTGAGAGGTAATGCTAAGGTATAATGCTAAAATAAGTCAATATTTTCACGCATTTTTGGGTTAAAATTCATGTTGTTTTTTTTTAGAAAACTTTAGGAACATCATAATTATTTGTTTCTTTTTTGCTGTAATGGCGCTTAATCTAATAGTCAAGTCGTAACCATTCCCAAGTTGTCTTACTTGCGTCCAACTCCATTTAGGCTGAAACCACTGCAAGGTTTAAAAATTGAAAAAATTTTAATTTACACTAAATTTAAAAACGGTGTTGCACAAGGCTGCTAATGGGAATAATAGAGGGGTAGTTAAGCAAAAGATACTAAACACATTAGCTTGCCTGTACAAGTTATCCAATCTACTTGCATAAACCAGTTTTAAAGTTTTGACTGTCCTTTTAAGTAAGAATATTTCTGGTGTTACCAAAAATCTTATACCACAAAACTTATATTTTGACTATGTACTAATATATACAATGTTCCAGTGCAATTAATTCATGGACTTGGATCACAGTAAACTGGACCTCTTTCAAAACCACAACAGAGTCCTTGTTTAGAAGTTGGAAATTTTCAAAATGGATTTGGGAGAAATTTAAGGGAAAAAAGAAAACGAAAATTGAAGAAGAACCCAATAGTTTCCTTCACAACGGCTTAGACGCGAATATTAATATGCCCACTACTGGCGATGAGGCAATGAAAAGGTAAAAGGAGGGAAAGAAACAAAAAAAATTAAACTGACCTATTACATTACTGTTTCACAGATTACTTGCCTGTAAAGGCAAAGATCCCTACAGCATTTTAGGGGTGACGCCGACATGTACAGACGATGACATAAAAAAGTACTACAAAAGACAAGCATTTTTAGTACATCCTGACAAAAATAACCAGCCAGGCGCTGAAGAAGCCTTCAAAATTTTAGTTCACGCTTTTGACATGATAGGAACTGCCGAGAGGAGAGAAGCATATGACCGAGGTATCAAGTTTATTTCAAATTTTTAATTTAAATAATGGTATATTGTTTTAAGGTGTAGCAGAGTCGGCATTTATGGTACAGAATTTTAGTCAAATGGCTGAGTTGTTGCAAAGGCTGCAACAGAAAATGGAGATGAACGCCAACACAATACGGTGTAGTTCTTGTGGGGACAGGCACAAACGAACAAAAGTGGAGAGACCAAGTTATGCAGCTAGAAATTGTAACATGTGCAAAATTCACCATGCGGCACGAGAAGGTGAGTTTTTATAGTTAATGATTTGTAGATGAATGTTAGACAAGTATGTAAGATATGTGTCCTAATTTTTTTATAACAATTAGACTAACACCTTTTTAATAAACATGTCTGGACTATTTGGGTCAATCGTTTTGTGCAACTTGAATAGAATTGAATAGAACGTGAATGTTTATTTGTACTTCACAAATGCTTAGTTTATTATAATTATATATATATATATATATATATATATATATATATATATATATATATATATATATATATATATATATATATATGTTCCTACAACGGTAGCCGTCTTCCTTTCTTTAGTCGGGCCCTCCATTCGGATCTATCTTCCCATGATCCTTCTCCCAACTGTCTTCCTTGCATTAACTCTTCTATCTCTCTCTCTCCATGACCTTCTTGGCCGCCCTTTCTTTCTTCAATTTTTGTGAATGACCCCTTAGGTCATTAAGTCCCCCTTTCTTCTGGGAGGTTCCTTATAGATGATGGGATTTTTGTTGCTCACCTCTGAATCCCTTCCTTGTGTCAATCGTTCATTTTACTAGGACCGAAACAATCAGTGGCCTATTTCGAAAAGGGCCGAATCATTTCAATCAATTGTTCATTTCAATACCTTTTGATGGCAACATAAGCGGCAATAGTCACTGAATCCGAACAGTTCGAACGACCAATTAATATAATATTTAGCTGTGTTCTGCTTTTTATTGAATCATGATTTTATCGAAATGGGTGCTAAGTATTGGGTTGTACCAGTAATACACTAATTTGTTTAAATTAAATACCTGTGGAGAAATAGATATTTCATTCAATATTCAAGTCAACATATAAGCAAATCTACCAATCGATGTCGCAACTCAATACTATAGAATAGCTATAACAATACTTCAATTCCTTTTCCGTGGCCTGTCTCAGTCATGCATTTAAATCTTAAACCATTCAAATGACTCGTATTCCGGCGAATTCGATTTCTTTTGGGTACGGTCGGTCGATTGGTCGTCCTGTCAGGGCGGTAGCGAGAGCGAACAAGGTGATCGAATCGTTACGAACAAGCGGGATTCGGTCGTTCGATGCTATGAAGTGATTGAATCAAAGTGACGGAATCAATCGCGATTGACACAACTCTACTTCCAGACTGGTCTGATGAAGCTTTTATAGGGTCGAAGAAAAGATTCTTAAGACATCTCCTTGAAGACACTTCGTATCATATAGATTAACGTGTTGGCATGTTTTACTACCCTTGGATCTTAAGTCAGAGCCATTTATACCATAATCAAATTGGGGATTGTTATAGCCTATAGGTAGCATTGTGCATCGAGAGGCAGCAGCCAGTCCCTGGTCCATCTTTCCAGTTAAGCTAAATCTTCAACTAGGTCCTCATGTTGTACAGTTGGGTCTCCTAAAATCTAGTATTGTCAGCATACATACTAACCTTGCACATGACGTGCTCATCAACCTTTTATTTTTTATTGGATATTTTTGTATAAGTATTGCATAGACTTTTTAGATTCTTATACATTTTTTATCATCTTCTTTTTTCCTTAAAATTACATTTCCTAGCAGCAGTGCTTTAGTTAAGAATTAATCTAATTTTTTTTATAAATCAGCATTATAATCGATTTACCAAATATATAACCAATTTTCAAAAAGCATATATTTTTGTAAGAAAGTCATTTTTTTGTTGCTAAAATTCTTTGTGTTGAGTCCTAGACTTGTCTTTTTTTTTTTCAAAAGCATTGTAGTAGATAGACTACTAATTATTTGAAAATAATTTCTTTAGGGGACATTTGGGCGGAAGCAAGATGTTTCGGCTTCGTCTGGCACTATTTTGCGTGTATGGAAGGATCGGTTTACGATATAACTGATTGGGCGGGATGTCAAAAAGAGACTTTAAAACATTTGAAACCTGACTCGCATCATGTACAATATCGAATTGCCCTAGGAAAACAAAACAACCAGCCTAGGAGAAACAGTTCATCCCCTCGAATGGATAAACCTGACCTAGAGAATTTGTTAAATTCCCTTTATGGCCATAGTGATAATCTCACTTCTAAAAGAAAAACTAAAAATAAGAAGTAATAGCTTTTGTTCATGTATAGGGGCTGTCATGCTTTGGGATTATTTGATCTGATCGGGTTCTGTATTTTAAGAATTTGTTTAATTACATATGTTTAATTGAATGCATTAATGACTAATTTAAGTGGAAATTTAATTGTTTCTGTTAATTTTATCGATCAAATAATTCCATACATCACCCCATAGAGCATTATTTACTAATAACTGCGCTCCTCTTTATTGTACTGCTTTGAAATAAATGACAGAATACAAACGTATATTCTTCTATCAATTCCCATGTAGTGATAAAAAATGTCTCACATTTAAATTTAAAACAGTTGATTGCCAAAAAATAAAAAACATTTTATATATTTGACAATATATTGAGTATCGCACATTCAAAATAAAATTTTAACATATTTTATTCAAGTGCTCCGTCCAAAAAACACAAATGTGGAACATTTTCAATTGCAATATCAACATCTCGTTTCATTATAGTTTTTCTTTTACTGGCTGTTAATTGTTTGGCTGCTTCCTTAGACATAAATTCAATAAACATTTCCTAGAACAAGAATAGTATATTCCTAGCAACACTGACCTAGAGTTAGAAGGGTTAAAAAAACTGTTTTACCGTGGCTTTTGTTACTAAGAATATTGCATCAGCTTGCACAATTGCACAGTCCTGATCCATTTTCATCATCTGTCTCACTCTGGATAAAGGTAGCCTGACAAATTTAGTTTTTTGATTAGGGCTTGCAGAGGGAAATGGTTTAGGCTGAACGGTTGTATCCTGTTCAATTGCATTAGGTATAGAAATAATCTCCGTTTCTGCCTGATCCTCGACATTTATTTCATCTGATTCCTCGATACTCTCAAAAATTTCGTTCATCATTATAGAGGTTACAGGTCATGGAAAAAACGAATGCAATCAATTTCCCGCGCTTTTTGGATTAAATACACCATGGTGAAGAAAAATGGGAATTTTTATATTACATCGAGAAAACTTAGATCTGCAAACACCAATCTTTTTCTTTTGCGTATACATTTTATGATCGTCATCATATCCAACTGAAGGAGAACGAATAAAAAATAACAGAAGGAGGAAGAAACAAACATTGTGGTGAGATTTGACCAGTTAAGCTTAGCAGGTTGACCATTCAAGGAATAAAGAAGAATGGCTTATCATACATAACCTAAAACAACAACCAATGCAGATGGGGTATTGGATTTAAAATAATAAAAATGATCAGACGCCCAAATACCAGAGAGGATGATGAAGAATTATTAAGACAACAGCAAGATTTTTTAAAAGATATTGCCCAAAACAAGATTAAACCAGCGGCTACTGTCGATAAAGCAAACGAAGGTATGAGATCTTTCTTATTGCTTAGATTTTATTTTGCCCTCCCTAGACGAGAATTGTAATTTATTAAAATTATGAGGATTTTTATTTCTCATTTGCAGTTTTTTTAAAAGAAAATATTTTGTTCATACAAAATAAAACTTTACCTTGATCTAAGCAAACGTTAATTTAAACCTGAGAGATGTAACCTTTTTTCATAGAATATGTTTCACCTTCCGCATCAATGTCTGATACTGATGTTAACAGTAAGGACGCAAGTATTTCTTTATTTGATATACAAGAGCAAATAGCTAATACATTTGAATCAGTTCCGACAAACATGAACCTTGAAAAAATATCTGAGAAGGAGCTCAAAGTCTCGACAATTTCATCATTAAAATTTGATAGCACAGGTTTTCCAAAGGCCTTGAGAAGGGATGTAAGTATTGTATGTAATATTATAACTATTATGGATATATTAGGATCAATTATGGTATTGACTTCTCATTTATAGCCTGACATTAAACCTTCGAAAGGTAGTATATTTTCACAACATATAAAAAGGATTAAAAGTGAGGAAATGAACAGAGATATGTCTGATCAAATGGAAGTTGACTCTGTTTCATTAGTTGTAAAGGAGAAGAATGTAGATTCCAATATTATTGGCAAAAGTGCAACAAGTGGAAAACATAAAATAGAAAGAAAAACGTCAATATTATCGCAAACAGATTATGAACAAATACACAATGAAAATATCAAAAAAATTAAAATGATGTCTGAAAATGAGATAAAAGCTGAAAGGGATCGACTTATGTTAAGTATGGATCCTGCAATTGTTAAATATTTGCAATCGGTAAGTGACATTTCAAAAATAAGTTAAATCTTTAATAACCTTTTTTTTTCATAAAGAGAAAGAAAGAAGAATTTGTTCAGACTCGAAATATAACAATCCACGAGCAAAACAGATTTTCAAGCAACATTACTTTGGAAGAGTTAGACACCCCTGCTAATGTGTTGGCACCACGAGAAGCAGAAAACTGGGTTAATTTTAATAAAATTGAGACCAATAAATTAGCCTGGATGAAAAATATTGATATCCCTAAAATATCAAAGGACCAACCTTTTGAAGCAAGGTTAGTTTTTAAATTTTAAAAGGATGTGATCTGATATGAATAAAAGTTGTTTATTGTGAAGGTTTGATTTTGATGGCTATCTTTTGCCATATTCACAAAACATTGATGATAAAAATCGTGTATTGTACCATCACGGAGAAGAACCTGGAAGACCCGGATATAGTTTGCAAGAACTTTTACAGCTTTGTAGGTATGCTTGGTGTATAATTTACTCATACATCATTTGTTAATTGCTGTTTTTTTAAGGTCAAATATAAATCAACAGAAGGTTGTTGCTTTAAATACCCTAGCAAATATCCTTGCTTTATATTCAACTGGGATTTATGACAATGTTTTCGAAATTCCTATTGAACAAATATTTTTTGTGCTTCGATTTTCTTTGGATGACAACACACCTGCTGTTGTAAATGCCTGCATTAAAGCCATTAGAAATTTAATATATTTTCAGCTAGATGAAGCATGTCTAGATTTTACCATGAGTTTTGGTATTGGGGTGATACAGCCGATTTTGGCTGTTGATGATGATGATGATGATCCTACTGTTAATGACCAACAATTGGTTGAAAAGAATTTGATTAAGTGCTTAATAAGAACCAACATTTATGCAAGAATTAGGTAAATGTGCTTCCCACTGTATATTACAGTGGTTTTATTTAATGTTAATTTATAATAAATTATAAGTTTCACAGCGCTATTGTTCTTTAGATATATCATCAACAATCTTAGACCCAGTTTGGAAACAACCATTTACAGTTTAGAGATTTTAATAAGGTTGGCAAGAGATTCTCAATATGCTGTTAATAAAATGTTGGCTTGTGATGGCCTCTTTTCCAGTTTAATTAGGCAATTTCTTCCACGTCCAAAGTCAATCAGTGGGTATTGAAAATAGAATTTACCTCAATTACAAGTTTAATTTTTTTTAGAATCTGACAAAAACTGCTCTAGTTATAATTTGCCCCTAGTGCAGATGATAAAATTAGTAAGGGTATTATCAGCTAGAAATAAACCTATAGCTGATGCCCTTCTGAGGAAGTAAGTATTAAGATCGTGCAACCATCTTTACAAATGCCTAACAGAGAATTATTAGGTACAAATTAGTGGAAATCATCTTCAGTTACCTGTACGAAGATTTATTTTCAGTAAATGCTAATGGTATGAAATTGCAAATTGAGTGCATGCACTACTTGTTTCTATTACTACACTATGACGTCTCAAATGAATTAGTTTTGTGAGTACTCAAACACATATGAATCTAGATAGGTTATACAGGGTATACAAGATAATGTGGGCAATATCTAAATATGCCGCTGTAAATTGGTGTTTTTTTAATAAACTTTTAAGAGTCTAATAAAAAGGTACTGTTTCATTATTCACCTTTCTGAATTCAGGTGTAAAACGTTTGGCAATTTAAACTGTTTTGCCAGGTTCTTACTAGTGGCCACATTAATTTTGTATGAAATTATATGAAAGACTTGTTATAATAGTTATTTAAAAAAAAACATTTTCAGTGTCTTCCTTTAGGGTTGCATAGAAATGCATCATGCTTTTTTTTTACTTAAATCAAAAGGATTAGTCACATTTCTGTGGAAGATATAGTATACAAACCATTTTTGCTCTTGTAGCCCAAATGAAGTATTGTTGAAGTATGTTACCTATCACTTTCATAACACCGACAATCTGAACTCCACAACGCTAGTCAGACAAAGTCATGTGGCAGCTTTGTTTTTCCTAATTGGCAAATTAATACAAAATAAGCAAACCATTTCCAGTGATTTGCATAAAATGACTGATCTTTGCATTGAAAAATGGATCACTCAGTTTCAATGTCATATCCAAAAATTTTCGGTGAGTATTAACATAAAATAGTTATCTAAGTAAGCAAGAACAATAATGCTAAGTGTTTGTAAGACTAACCATAATCCCAAAGGTTTAGGAAGCTTTAGGATTCTGGTTCAGTGGGCAAGCTCCTAACTTAGTAGATTCATTGGACTTCCTGGTTGGTTTTACAACTGGTTTCATTTTCTATTTCAGTGTGGACAATCCCAAATAATCTCAGGAGTTCTCTATGTGTGCAGGGTGTACAGCGAACAATTTGTTACTGAAAAAATAGATATTTTGCTCAAAGATTTAATTAAGAGTGATATATTTAAAGAAGCGACAAAAAATTTAAAGTAAGCACGTCAATAAATAATCTCGATATTATGTCGATTTTTTTTAGAAATAATTCAATGATTCTTAACAATTATGACACTCACCAAACAAGCGAGAATTTAAAATCTTTACAGGCTGCGGCTTGGTTTACAATGGACCATATCATACCTCTATTGCAAGGAAATAGCTGTATTCCATTTTTATATCATTTGTCACGGTACATTGCATCAACTAAATCGAATGAGGTAAGTAGCTCCCCTCTTTGGGCAAGTGAATTATATAATTTTGGACATCAATTTTAGCTTAAAATTCAATTCCTCTTACATTCTAATATAAACGAATATTTGAAAGCATTGGAATGCTCGAAACATTATTTCAATACTGGAAATTGGTTCACAAAATGGGAAAGCGGTTTAATAATGAGCATGTTGAAAATCGGTAAATCAGTTTATAGACAGCTAAACCCGACCATATTTTATCATATAGCTGTAAAGTGCCTTTGTGTATTTACAATCGAGCACAAAGCTGAAATAAAAGACGTTCTTAATAGTGTAATATTCTGTCCAGAATTTTTTCCAGTTGAAGCTATGCTTGAAAATGCCAACATTAACGAAGAACTGGGTGATTTCAGCACATTCCTCAATGACATTAAGAGGATTTATACACACACTTTTCAAATTGAAGGAGTGAGTATTATTATTAATTTTTGGAAATTATTGTGGCAGCTTTTGAAGTGTGTGCTAATAAGCAAATCTTAAATATTTCAACTTTAAATATTTTTATGGTTCACTGTCATATTTTTCAAAGCAACATAAATTTCTCTATCATGTCTTATCTACACCCTACGGTTAAGTGGAAATGTAAACAATTATAGGCGTTGTAATTATCAATTGTATTTTAATATATATTAAATACATTTTATAGACATTTTTATGTTTATTTTTTTAGATAAATCAAGCTACGGATAGCTTTTCAGTTGACTCAAGTAGAGGCAACATAATTCCTGTAGATTGGATATATGCGCCAATAATTTCCTCAGACGAACATATAAACGCAAGAAATATTAACGGTGTAGAACAGAGTGATGTGGTGGTCAATTGTTTGAGGTGGATATTAATTTATGAAACACATTTCCCTTTTCTGGCAGCCTCAATTAGTCCAACGGAGAAGTTTTGTAGATTGGCTAGCTTGTTTTTGGCAAACGATAATCTTTTCTTGCTGCCAAATGTTGAACATTTGATGCAACAGAATTTTAAAAACTTGATGAAATACGAAATTGAGTTGGATTTTGGACAAGAGATATCAGGTAAAAATAGATATTTCTTTAGTAAAAAGTTTAGTTCCTGAAACTAAAAAAGTAATGTTTTAAGTGCTACTAGGCGTTATTTTCTGTGGCCATATAAAATATAGCTTATAGTTTTTTTTTATTGTTTAAATATTTTTAGCAACTAAGATAGGAAATGTGGTTTTCTTTCTTTAGGCTTGACCAATTTTCAAGATTTCTATACTCAACTCTTAGAACAGTATCAATCTGTTAGCTATGGAAGTAAATTGTTCGGAAATGTTATTTTGATGCCCCTCTGTCGTAGACATAATGTGCAGTACCGGAAAACATTGTGGTCGGAATACTTTGGTGTTGTGGAGATATTCAATGTGATGCCGTCAGAGGTAAATTTCTTCCAAGTGAAAATATCCACTTTTACTTTAATTAACATTTTTTAGGCTTGGATTGATCTGACTCAATTTATAACTCCTCCAGAAACAGATGTGTCACTTTTAATGTGTTATCGGCGAGCTGTGTACCAACTTCATATTAAGCACAAATCTATATTATACTGTATAGCAGATCATCACAAAAATATAGCCAATAAAGTCTGTCAGTATTAGGTTGCACCAAAAAAACTTGTAAATTTATTTGCCAAATATTTGAATCAATTCTCCGATAATAGGGTTATTTGATAAAGTGACAATTATATTTTTGTTATGTTCCAAAAATCAAAAATATTGATAATTCATAAAATGGGTTTTTTAAAAACAGGCTATTCTTTTCACTGTTGCTAATTTGATCATTAAAGTGTCCCTTATAGCAAATAAAATAGCTAAATATGATGCAATATAATTTTTCAAATCTTCTCAACAAGAAAACAATAACCAGGAGCAGACATTTATATATTAATGTCGGTAATAGTGGTATTTTATAATATTTATATAGTTGCGAAAATAAATATTAAGAAACAACCATAAATAATGCTTGGAAAATTAAAAAAAAAATTGCTAATAAAAACCCCTAGACACTAGCTGTGTACGTATCTAAATTATGAAAATACAAATAGACACATCAAATTATTGAATAATCTTTAAGGTAAAAGGAAAGTAAACATTTTTTTTTCTTTCGTCTGTATTTATTTGTGCAATTTTTTTTATTTTGCACCTATCTTTTACCAGCATTTACATTTGGAATTTTACTTTTATGTCAATGTCAACAGGCCGGACGTGTGCGTCATGTCATTTACCCAAAATATAAATATATTTCTTTTATCCGGATGATATGGCCATTGGCTTATTCAAGCTTACTCTGAATCAGAGAAGAACCTTAGCAGCTATCTTCTTAACGCTGAATATACTGCAGATATTATTAGGAGCCATCATGACTGCGATGTCGCTATTCGTCTGCCTATCGATCTCGCCAAAGATCCCCAGCGAGAGAGCTGAAATAGATTTTGTATTCCTTGTTTACGGCATCTTTGGGGCTAATATTATGTTTCACTGGCTAATTGGAATTAGAATATGCCAAAAATGTATCGACCAAGCGCACAAGTAAGATACTGCATACTCTTATTTCTCAGCTAATAATAATCTTTAAGAAAAAGTACGCGGAGTCTATTATTACTATGGCACTGCGCAGGAACAAACACTGTAATAGCGTTGATTGTTATTGCGCATATGTCAAGGAAAACCAACAGACATATAATAAAAGCATTAAAAAATTCTTTACACATGGGAATGAAAAATTACTTAAGCGAGTCGATTTGGAAAGAAACTATTGATAAAGTGCAGTATTATTTGGAATGTTGTGGATGTGATTCATACGAAGATTGGCACAAAATAGAATGGATGGATAAGTCTATCGTCAACGAAAAATCGGGTCTTATCAGGGAGTGAGTACTTAAGCAAACCAGCACTCAAGATATTTTATTTTAGCATTTTCTTTTGAAAAGACTAATCTGTTTTTCTACTATCAGTATAAGACTAAATCAGGAAACTTTGCGGTTACCAGTTGTGCCTTGGAGTTGTTGTAAAGTCGATTTCCCAATGCAATGTCTTCATGATCCCATACAGCAAGTGGAGTATACTCACCTTTGGATCGATCAGCCTAATTTGGTAACAGACTCGCTGAATATAGAAGGCTGCATGGCAAAAATAAAAAGACCCATAGGCTGGATTATTTTTAGCTGCTTGGGGATAGTTTTTATTATAACATTCTTTCATGTAAGTGCATCTTTCTAAGAACGAACTAATTCGTAAAATCTGGTGATCTTTGAATTTTTTTAAAAGATCAAACGAAAGTGTTTTTTGGCTTTTTAATCATGTAAATTTGTCGCCAATGTCAACACTTTTTCTGTAATCTTTGGTAACAATAGTTTTTTTTTACTATAATTCGGATGTAATAAAATTGTCACACAATAACGCGTTTTACTACAAACCGAAACTCAATTTTACGTACTCGACGCGCGTTTCGCCAACCAAGTTGGCATCTTCAGGAGAAGATTAAAACTAAACTAAAACATTCGGTTTTCCCAAATTTTGTAAACATTTCCGTAACAAATTCATCTCTTGTTGCCAAAAGAGTTTAAAAACTTGCAAAAGAAAAATGGTTGGATTTGGAAATCAAATAGCTGTACAGTAAATGAAGTATTGAGTTTAGTTTTAATCTTCTCCTGAAGATGCCAACTTGGTTGGCGAAACGCGCGTCGAATAAGTAAAATTGAGTTTCAGTTTGTGGTTATTGTGTGTTAGTATAGTGCCGAAGGTTCCAGTCAAGAGTTTGATAATAAAATTGTAACAATTCTTCATTTGCGTTACTAGATTATGACAATTGTGCTCTCCCGAATTCTTTACACATCATGTAGAAATGCCATACTTTTATATGATAGAGAAGGCATCGCTCCAGGATGGATATTTGGAAGAGGTGACCTAGGCTATACTAGAGGAAAGACATTGACTGAAATTATGGTAATATGGCGTTACTTTAATACATTTGATTTGACCAAAATATCTTTAGGGGGTTACTAATGAAATACTAGAACAGAGAATGGTTTCCGAAAAACAACGTAAAAAATTGGCGAAAACTGAGCACTCAGAACAATCAAAAGCAGAAACTATTAGTCCTATAAACAAGCCATCTGGTCAACTTGATAAGATCAGAAAAAAAATTGTAAAGAAAAATGATAAAATATCAGAACATAGTGAAAACAAAGACCAACAAGAAGCAGTCCTCCAAAATTAGTGAAGAAACAAGCAGAAGTCAAGAAATATAACATTTCCAAGATACAGTTAATGTATAAGAAAATATATTATTTCATTTAGATGTTTACTTTTCTTGTGATGATGAAGATGTGAAGAGTATTAATGAAATCATTAATAATTACTGGTTAGAGGTGTGTTGTGATATTTGGTTTGAAGAAATCAGGTATACTACTAAAAATCATCTTAAGCATAAAGGGACATTGTATTCAAATCAATGTTTTATCCTATTTGGTGGATAAAAAAATTATTTAGGACATTTCATCTTTCAGAGAAATGTCTACAAGGCATAACACTTTTTTTTTTACTTACTATGCTTAATCCCAAACATCCAATGCTCCTTTACATATTAAAATTTATTTACGCTAGTATTATCCAAATATTACACTCATTTTATCTATGTACATTAACAATACAAAACCAAAAATAAATGCTGGGGGTCTGTGGAAATGAACTTATAAAAAACTGTGATGGTACAAAAGAAATTGAAAAAAGAAAAAATTCGAGTAACAGTTTTTGTAAAAGATGTAATATACAAATTCCCTTAATTAACATAACATGGCAAAAGGGTAAATATAAATAGTCGAAAGGCAACTTAAGTGTAAAAAAGGGAAATGATTTTTCATTAATGCTAATTTCTAAACTCCATTTTACACATTTTATGGTTTTTGTAACTGATAGAGACATAACAATTACAGTTCTACAAGATTAATAATATAGGTAATAAAAAGTTTTTTCTTGTAACTCCATTAATGTATTCAACCGAGAGCTAAAAAGAGAAAAAGAAAATTGAAATTAATTTTCATAAATGCATATAATTATAAAAGGAAGCAAGCACCAGTTGACCAAGAAATGGTGTCACTTTACATAGAAATCCTTTCCCATTGCCCCTCATATTTATAAAACGATTAAAATTGTGTTTGAGAATTTAAAATTTTCTTCTATCATAATGTTAACAAAGTACTTACAAATTCTTACCTTGGCAGGAGCTAGGGAACCTTACAATGAATTCGCGTCATAATGAGGTTTTTTAGAATTACTTGAAATTGATTTCAATAGACTATTCCTTAATTTGATATTTCGATGTTTTTAGTGGACTACCTAGTCCTGAATTTTGTATTAAAATACAAATTTGTCCTGCCCGAAGGCACATCTCTAAGTTAATTTATTAAATTATAAAACTTCTGTAAACTTTTTACTAATATCAAAAACTTGTACTATCAAAATAATCATTACTGTAATATACACAAATTATGGTAACTGCTTAAAAATTTTCTGTTTATTTGGAGTCTTACAGTTTTCTGTAGTAAAAACTTTTTTTTTTTGAATAGCATTAGGTCAGGTCCCCTATAAAACATTATGTCATTTATTAATGTATGTAAAACATTTTACTTTACTTTATTCAAGAAAGGATTTCTAGGGTAACTAAAACTTACCAGCAATACCTTGAATAGCTTCTGAAGCGGAGTATTTCACATCAACATCTGTATCCATATTAAGTTTGTCCAGCACCGGTTTCACTTGGGGTTGCATAACAGCCTGGTCCAATTGGGGAGCTATTTTCTGTAGCGTTTTGGCCACATTAAATCGAACATTTGCCACTTTGTCATTTGCCATACTCAAAACAGTTGGCAACAGAAGTCTAGTTGTTATGTCCCCGCCACAAGCTTCAGCCAGTACGTTTATGCAGAACAGGCAGGTCATTCTAATAAATGTTAATATGATACCAGTATTTTCTATTAAACATCACGCCAAAACTTTATAATAAAATTTTTCCTAACCTGTAGAGATAATTCTGATCTCGGGACATCGCCAGAACCTTGGGTATTATGGTAGTCTCTGCCCATTCAGCCCCGAACTGGTCTACTAATTTTCTTAAATTTAGGGTTGCAGCTTCACGTATTGCGAAAACATGATCCATTAACCAAGTCATGCATAAAGAATTCAACTTCTCATCAAAAAATTCCCTACCTAAAAGACGAATTTTGATTTATACATCTTCAATACAGGCCAACAAATAAAAATGCAGGTCTTTAAGACCATTTACAGACCCGCGCTAAAGCATGGATTTGAGTAATGGGTACTGTCAAAAAGACAAAAAAATAAAATTCGATGCCACCAAAATGAAGTACCTGGGAAGAGTGAAAGGTGTAACAAGAACAGACGATCAGGAACACTCAAATAAGAGAAGAGCTGAAGGAACAGTCAATTGCTGAGTTCATTAAAAAGTGACAACTTGGATGGTGATGACATATGAAGCGGATGGAACAACATAGACTGGTAAGACAAAATTATGAAGCAAAAATTCAGAAGGCAAAGAAAAAGAAAGACTAAAACAGACATGCAAAAAAAGGATAGCTGACACCCTACAAAACAACTATGGAAAGAAGCAGAGTATTTGGCACAAGATCTAAAAGCATGGAAGAGGTTCATAGAAAGATGTTAATACAGATGTTTGGAAATTTAACCTTGTATACATTATTTCCTAAATTGTGTGTTACACCTGGCTCCTATGATATAAGGTTTTATGATAATATACACATTTTTAACTAAAATTTAATAATAAATTATACTTATTGAAACAATATGAAAAAATTATGGTAAATCCAAATGAAAAAGCCTGCCTTCGTTCACAAATTATGAAAAACTCACCCAGCTGTCCAGCTAATAGAGGCATATTTTCAATAATAGCCGATCTCACCCTCCATTTAGAATCTTCTGCCAATTCAACTATAGCGGGTAAAAGTGACTGGGATAATTGTTGAATGCCTATCACTTCATTAACACAGTCTAAATTGGAAATAATATTAAGTCTGACTTCTGGACAATCATCTTTCAGCTGTGTCAAAAACAGGGGCAACAAATGTTCAATTGTATTGTGTCTTCCCAATATGGGACTAAGTCCCATTATTACAGACGCTAAAGCTGATTTTACATGTTGATTTGGATCAGCAACCTTAAAAATTAACAAACAATACACAATAAATTTAGAAAAACAAGTGTGATACTGCGAAAATATACAACTGACCACCTCAATTTATGTAATCATTTTTCCAGCTAACAATGCAACACAAACTTACAATTCACAAACCACCCTTACCAATTCTTTGACGCAGGGTAAAATATTCGTCATGATTATGTTTTCCTGGTGTGCTTTATCCAAATTCTGACAGAAATCTTTTACTTTATTGGCAGCCGCGGCACGCACCTCAGCCTCGGTATCTTTCAGAAGACTCTGAAATGCTGAAACAAGGTCTGTTCTTGTGATTTCTGGACCTACAGCCTTTTGAAGTTCTGTAAATTTATCAGCCACCATATAGCGGACTCTCCATGACGAATCACCTAAAAATATTAAAAGAAGGATTACAAGGAAAAATCTATGACAAATAAGTCAAAAGGTCGAATAAGGATTTAAGACAAAAATTAATAAAATAATTTCGATTATTTACTTACCAGTGGCTTGCCTTAGGGTAGGCATAACAAGTTGTTCTACATCTTCTTGTGGCAGAAGGTTGGCAATATTAACACATACTTCAACTGCTAATAGCCTTACAGAGTCCTAAAAAAGTTAAAATTTGTATAGGTACTTAAAATTAATTTACATTGATATATATATCACCTGTTCGTCTTGGGCCAAATTAACAAACATAGGAATCAAATCTGATTTGTGATATTCCAACTCAACAACCTGTGCCAGTTCCCCCAATTTGGTTGCAGCTGCACGACGTACCATTGGGGTGTCATCTTGGCACAGCGCTTTAAAATGAGATCTTAAGTCAGCTTTCACCGCAGCAGACACTCTTGGATAGCATACCTAAAATAATAAACACATAATAAGTCAAATGATAAAACAATTTAATTTAGAACTTACCGAGAAAAGACCACAAGCGGATGTCCTTGAAGTAAACCAATCACCAGAAGCCAGCCTCTGTACTAAAGGTACAAAATGAATTTCTAGGTCAGCTGGGCTGTGCTGTTGAGCTACAGCTCTCAGTGATTCAACAGCTTTATCTCTAACCACTGTTTCTTCGACTGTTGCTAAACTCTCAAGAGGTGGCAAAACACAATATGCAAATTCCGGGCCACCAACCAATGTTATAAATTGGCCAAGTTGTTCTGCTAGAGCCAATAAAACTTCATCTTCATCATATATTGTTTCAGTCAAAAATGGAATTAGTTCCGTTCTAGTTCTTTCAACTCCCAAAGCCAAAGCAATGGTGGACAACTTCTTTATGGAATTTAGGCGAAGCTGCAATGTAATTAATATAAACAATGTAAAATGGACTTAAATAAAAGTATGTACTTTAGTTATTTCAGTTCAAAAGGGTTACCATCAACTTACAATATAAAAAAAAAAAAATTGTTATTCCTATGAATTATTTTGAAAATTTTACAATTTACATTCACATATTACCCATAAATGCACAAGTATTCACTGCACTCAATGGGACTCTTTAAATAAATAGATGAATCACTTTTATGAAAACATTAAAAATTGTATCACTGTTTTGTAGTAACAATGACTGGCATGATGCAACATAATTGAATAATGTTTAACACCAGAATAATCCACAAATTACCTGTACATCTTCATTTTTAAGTTCATCAATTAAGACTGCGATGGGATACAAAGAATCATCGCCTGCAGAATCGCTGGCTGCCATTGTAGAGCAGAGTCCGGTAGAATTCGCCGATATCGTCGTTTTTAACCGTTTATGGGTACAATGTTTCACACCTTAAATTTGTTGGAATTCTAGTTCAATAACTTTGCTCTTAAATTGACGAAAATTTTTCACGGCTACTTACAAATTTAAAAAAGGTTGGATAAAACCAATGAACGGTACCTTTGAAGTTTCCAGGTTGTCCAGTTTCGACTCTTTAGAAGGTGGAGCCACATTCGATAAAACCAAAGTCATATATATGGCGCGTAATTTGAGTTTAGTGGAATTCTTTATTTATAAATTCAATTAAATCTCTTTTTCTAAGTCATAGAAAATGTTTAATAGGTAGCAGGATAATAAAATCTACTTGAAAAATTCATAAAAATTATTTTTAGCATATTACAAGATTATTCATCTACTAAATTCAATTTTGATTTATAACAAAAGTATTTTGTTTAGTTCCTATATATTGTTGCTTTTTTGGATTCCCAAGAAAGTACTAGACATAGTTCATATCCTATAACTAAATGTTATTGTCTCTGAGGTATGTAACATTTTATGTGAAAAAAAATGTTCTCTTAAAATTTTATTCTATGGACTTATTATTTAGAAAATAATCTGTCTTACAAATTTAGTTAGTAATTTTGATAAAATAATAATTTTGATATTAGATTATATAATGCTAATTATTTAGTTTTCTAGATATTGTAGTTTAATTTTTTTGGACTTGGTCTGCTTTTAGGTCAATTTAATCTCAATCACAATCAGAAACGGAAATCATAAAAAACATGATGAGCTATAATTTCAAGACAATAAAAACGCAAGCGATTTGAGTTAATAACTCATCATAACCATCCATTTTTTTGCAACATTCTAAGGTTTTGAAACAAGGTAATTAAACAATTTAATATTATTTGGCAATGTTTTATTTACAAAAACACACAATAATATAGAATAAAAATCCAAAATTGAGGTTTCTACTTTATCTAAACTTATTGTATCATTTAATCTAATCCATAAAGCTTTAAAGTCCTATCCATTGAAGTTGAAGCTATGAACCTGGCATGTTTGCCAAATCGAACACCCGTTGCTGTCGCTGTATGGTCATTAAACACCTTTAATTCTTGCCATTGTTTGCACAGGTATATCCTAAAATTATTTTTTGCATTTTTAATAATAACAGATAACATATTATAGTAGCCTTCCTCTTATAAACAATTTACTCACCTCACGTCAGTTCCTGCGATAGCCAAATATGTACCGCTCTGATCAAAGCACAAATCCTTAATTTGATATCCCTCATCCAACTGTAAGGTTTTAAAGTTTTTAAGTTTCCGCAAATCCCACAATTTGACGCAAGCGTCGTCTGCTGCTGTAGCTAAATAATAACCATTTTCCGAAAAAGATATTGTTGTTATAGCACCCGAATGACCTACAAAGTAAAAAAAGTAGATTTTACAAATTTTTGAATTATTTGAAAAATATTTTGCTTTCAAATTTGTTGAGCATTAATGAGAAAAATTTCAAGAATCAACTAGTCACAATTCATAATTTAGATTCAAGAATTGTAGCTTTTGACATAAATGGAACACAAGTAAACATCTTTTACCAGTAAAGTTGGCGACATTACTCTGCTCCTTTAAGTCCCAAATCTTGACCTGGGAATCCTCTGTCCCCGTTCCAAAAATCAAACCATCAGGGTGTAACTGAGCCGTGGTGAGGGGAATATTGCTGCTGTCAGACACCTTAGTAAGCAGACGTCCTGTGTTTATGTCTGAAAATGCCCAATATTGATCCTCTGATGTAGAAAGGACATAATCACCAGTTGGATGTAATGAAAGACCAGTCACAGGTCCATTGTGAGCTCGTAAAATTAGTGTTGTTTGAGAAGTAGGTACATTCCATATACGGATTGTTGAATCGGGTGAAGCTGGAAATATAGAAGTTAAAATTGTGCTTGGTTGTGTATGTATATATTATGCAGAGCCCCAACAAAGCAATAAAGTTATATTATTAGAGAATTAAACTAACCTGTGAGAACAACATCTTCATTGCTATGGTAAATTACTTTTGTTACTTTCTTTGTATGGCCTTTCAAGATTGCAACTACTTGCTCGGTATCTTTATTAAAAACAGTAGCATTTTTGTCATTGCCACCAGTCAGAACTTTGCTTGTGTCTGTACTGTGGACGTCAAGTGCTAAAATTCCTGGTATACTGGCTGAATGTAAACCCTACATTGATAATGGTTAGTCTCAAATATTTAAATTTAAAAATGCTAATCACTTACAATCAATGAAGCCAAAGTTTTAAAAGATTTAAGCTGATCCTGAGTTGTCAGTTCTTCTGGAACAGTTCTGCCCCTCTTTTTACGTTCTTGTGTCAATACAGTGGCCTTCTCTTGTAGTTTCTGTATAACATCTGCACTCATACCAGCTTGTTCCATTGGTTGATTAGCAACTCCTGCAGCCTCAGCAGCTACAGCCTAAAATATAGATATTTACCATCCACACTAATAATAAAAGCAATCTGTGCCCTAAAATTGTATTCAGTGACATTTTCAAAAATGTTTATTTTGACCTGTTAATGATACAAAATAATTTGTGAAAAATAAACTTACTGGTTGTGGAACTGCTGTAATACCAGCTTGTGGTTTAAGAGTGGCTAAAGCTTCTCTAGCCGCTGTGACTTCTTTGTTAAGTCTGGCTATTACACGGCACGCAGCATCATGCTGATACAGAGCATGACTTAACTCTTGTCTTGCAGTTTGCAATTGTTGCCTTTGTGTAAAACTGTACAGCATAACTGCATCCCATTCATCTTGCAGCAATTTCAATGTTGCTGGAATACTTGTGGCACTCGGTGGTTTTGGTTTAACAACAGGAGGTGCTGAAGATTGAATGAATGAATATTTGCATAAAAACCTAGAATTTCATAAATAAAAAATTGCATACTTTTGATTTCGATCAAGTCTTCGACGGTTAACTCTTTGCCACTAATAGGATCGACACCATTTTCCTGAATGTATTTTTCTATAATTCTTCTCTCAAAAATCGAACCCGAAGATGGTGACACAACCGGGTGTTCCGGTACTTCATTTGAAACTAAAACAAAACTGAAATAAGTTCTCATATAGACGTAGTATGCGGATATTTACTCGCACAAACAAGAGACATATTTGATTTTGTTAAAAACGTTTAAATTTTAATAAAATTAAGGAATTTATCCATTCACAATAACGCGGCGTTTCCGATCATACAACACAGAACACGAAACATAAAACATAAAATACAAACATCATAGATTATTGAAAGAACAAACATACGAATAAACTCTAGTTGAAAAGAAATTAACGAAGAACACCACAGACCATAACGATAAAAATTATATTGATGTCTTCCAATTGCGTAATCTGTGGTGCACCATTGCCATTTTTGCAATAAAGATTACTACTAAATACTGACCCACGAACGTCCGTGCCACTAGGGCCATTTGCTTTTTAACCAATAAGTAGTTATGAGTCACGAGCTTCATTCAATTCGTTAATTAAATTAGATATCAGTAAAAATTGTATGTTGCAATTTTTGGGAATATCAATTTTTCTGAATAATATTAAATGGAATATAAGAACAATTACAAAAATTCAATTTTTATTGAAAACTACAATAACTTATAATTAATATAATATAAGTTTTAATACACTATTTTGAAAACGTAATAAAATAATATTTACCTATTTGAAACTGCAAAAACGTTACGTCGTAAGTTATTGTTTGCTTTTTTTTACATAAAATAGAAGACAAAACGACAATACACAATTAAACTAAAAAAAACAAATCAAAAGATGGAAATTTCAATTTTACCACAATATTTTCAAAACATCTATTTTTTCAAAGAAATAAATTACATTTTTCTCATGGAAGCGACTTTTCGAAATATCGAGAGTATGAGCTACTACTAACTAAAGTAAACTGACTAAATCGTGTAAAAGAATTAGGTAGGTACATTTTTATATTTGCTAAGCTTTAACTTATTGGGTTTTACATAAGTACGAAATTTTTATATGTCCATTAACAGTAATAGAAAAACGGTCATATAATTTTGGACTACATAGATCATATTGTCATTATTCAAAAAAACCGAATGATTTCTATTTTTTGTTAGAGTGTCAAGTGAAATTGTGAATTATTTCAACAAACTTGTCAAAGTGCAGTCAAGGTTTTTTTTTCAATTTGAAAAAAACTATTTCCATATGTGTTATTGGAGTGGTATGGGCAATCGTTTGTTCAGGTAATATATCAATTTTTTCACTAAGCGAAAGAATAGGTACTCAAATTGATTAAAATTATTTATTAACATATAATCGGTACAAAAGTAAAAAAAGTTGTAAATAACAGACCAATATTTAACTGTCAAACATATTTTGAACAATGCCAAGGGAAGGTTCTGCGTTTCTCATTGCTGCATCCCAACCAGCACTGCCTTTCTTATTGTCACTTTCTCGCATCATCTTTTCGACACTTGCTTTCATGCCATGTTCCAAATCATCTTTGTCGCTTGTTCTCATGTCGCTTTTCCATCCAGGTTCATGAACTGAACGCACTGCGTTTTCATTAGGTGGGGTCTCAGTCGTTGGTGCGTGCTTTTCAGGTTCAACCCGGATATGATGCTCGGAATTACCTGTCCCATTAACCATCTCGTGGTGAGGAGAAGAAGTCATTTCAGAGTGCCACGATGATCCCGCAGCTCTTTGATGAATTATCTCCTCCATTTTTTTCTTAGTGTGTTCTTCTTTTTCATGCACGTCCATTTTTTCCACGTTTACATCGACAGGAGTTTTTGAATGGCTGTCCGTTTCTTCAGCGGACCTGTAACCGCCTTCGTATGGCGCAGGAGCAGAATATGGAGGAGGACTGGGAGGAGAATAAGCAGGCGCTCCATAAGTGGGCGGTGTAGAGTACGATGGAGTTTTATAAACTGGAGGCGGAGCGGAATATTCGGGTGCAGGTGGAGAATAGGCTGGACTTGGAGCATGATACGAAGGCGGCGGTGACGGGGCCGAATAAACCGGAGGGGGCGCTGAATATGACGGGGCAGGTGCTGAATAAGAGGGTGCTTTATACGCCGGTGGTGCATAAGCTGGTGCTGGAGCCGAATATGCTGGTGGGGCTGGTGCTTTGTACGCCGGTGGTGCATATGCTGGTGCGGGAGCCGAATATGCTGGTGGCGCTGGTGCTTTGTACGCAGGTGGTGCATAAGCTGGTGCTGGAGCCGAATATGTTGGTGGGGCGGGTGCTTTGTACGCCGGTGGTGCATAGGCTGCTGCTGGAGCCGAGTATGCCGGTGGGGAGGGTGCTTTGTATGCCGGTGGTGCATAGGCTGGTGCAGGAGCCGAGTATGCTGGTGGGGAGGGTGATTTGTACGCAGGAAGGGCGTAAGACGGGGCTGGTTTGTACGTAGGGGCAGCATAACTTGGTGCTGGTGCCTTGTAAGACGGAGGCGAGAAGGCTGGAGTTGGAGCAGAATATGGGGCCGGTGAATAAGACGGTACTGGAGGTGCTTTGTAAGCTGGAGCCTGATAGGTTGGAGCTGGGTGATAGGCCGGTTCCGGAGCGGAGTACGATGGTGCTTTATATACAGGGGCGGCATAAGCAGGTGGAGAGTAAGCCGGAGCCGCCGGTTTATACGCTGGAGCGGCATACGAAGGCGGCTTGTACGATGGTGCGGGTGGTCCATACGAAGGCGCTTTGTATGCGGGTGATTGAGGATATGCAGGCGGAGCTTTATATGCAGACAGCGAATAGCTTGGTAAATTATATGTCGGTGGTTTGTATAGCGGCTGTGGGTACGATCCGTAAGAATATGGCCTTCCATATCCACCGCTGGACGATCTGTATCCGCCGCCATATCCCACGCTCGGAATACCATGGGCGTATCCCGCCAGATTAGGTTGGCATGTAATTACCAAACCGCTATGGGCTTTTTTCTTTGCCGGAACGAAAGAAACGGGTGCTCCATAACCCGCGCTTGCTGCATACCCGCCACCATAAGTCGGGGAACCGTAGCTAGGTGCGCCATATCCACCATATTCGGCTTTCCTCATCATGGCGCCCGATATTTCGTTCGATCCATCTTGTTCATCCTCGTCGGACGCTTCCGTCATTCCAAGCACACCAGCACCTTCTTCTTCGTTGGATTCCTCGGCATTGCGGTAGGCACTATAGGTAGCTGAACTGTGGGCAGACCCATATTGTTTTGCAGCCGGTTTCGGAGCGGGAGCCGGATAGGCGGCAGCTGGAGCGGCGGCGGCATGGTAGGCAGAAGCTGGAGCCGGGGCAGCACCGTAAGGTGCCGGAGAAGGTTTCGGGGGTTCTCCGTAACTAGGCGAGGGATAGTAAGTGGGAGGAGCCGAGGGTTCACAAACTTGATAAGGCTTCTGATAGGGATCACTCGGTCTGATCTCTACGCAAAATGTGGTCGTCGTTGATTTTTTGCTTCTTTTTGCCTCGGTTTGTTCGTCTTCGTTGATGAGTTCCGTTTCCAAATTTTTTATCTCTTGGTTCGCCTTCGCCGCAGGAGGATCTTCGATTTTTTCACTTACTTTCGCGTCAGCTTTTTTAACATCGACGCATAATGCCGTTGCACACAACAAACTAACAACTAAAAGGACTCGCATTTTGTCGTGAGCCTGACTATTTTCGCAATGTAAAATTATGTTGATGCGCTTTGAATTTATAGCGTATTAACGTTTTGACAACGCTGCATGTTTTGATTAAGCGCGTTTAATTGTTCTATTTTTCGATGTTGATATTCAGCTAGATAGAATCGTCCCCATCGAAACCTATACGATTTTAATTTTAATTTTTGTTTAAATGGAAAGTATCTATATGTAATTTTAGTAAATTTTAATGTAATATTTTTAATGATTAACAAAAATATTTAAAAATGTATGTGTTTTTTTTTTAAATAATCAGTGTTTCAACTGTGGGACTCAACTTTAAAATTTCAAAAGTAAGAGTTACAAAATTGGGCATTAAATAAATGCGCAACAACTCGTTTGATTTTTTCTTGCGCTTATTCTAAATAAATATCAAATCAAATGACACTTTTACATCGCCAGTACATATTCTGTTTGAAATTCGAGCTTTTGGCTTCAATCTTTTTTCTTTACGTACGTTTTCTTTTAAATAGTATACTAAAAATAACAGAACATTGAAAAAAGGTGTACCTTATAATGTTGCTTTTCTTTACAAATAAATGGTTGTTCTATAGATATAGACATTTGGTTAAAATGAATAAAACGAAATCTTTGAAACCGGACCTAATCAATGTTGAGTCTTTAATATCAAATTAAATGTAGATACATGTCCATTAATAGAATATAATAAAATAATGCAACACAGAATTTTGTTGATAACCAACCATTTCAATCAAAATCCATGATTTTATAAACACATATGTTTGTATTTAATATATGGCCAATAAATTTGATAGAGGGTGTTTTAAAAATATGTTCGAACGCATCGTCATGCAGCTTTTTGCAATATGTTAATGATATGGAGCGAATTTGATTTCGACGTGAGAATGTTCGCACAAGTCGTATTTTTGTAACATTTAACACGTATCTTGTAAGCTAACCATTGTTGGAGCTATTTTTATACAAACTTTTTTTTCTTTTTTTATGAACATGTTGCAAAAATTCCTGTGTTTCGTTGCTTAAAATGTATCTGAAAATGTCTCCTTCAGGGACAGGGACAATTTTAAATGAAAGTTAGAGCACGAATACTTATTGGGTCATAAAGGTACTGCTGAAAAAACTTAATAATTTACAATATTTTTAGTTCATTATATTTTTTTATTATTTATTAATTTAATTTTTTAATAAATAATTTATAAGCGCCTAGTTTTTTGTACAAGTTGTTTCGTAAACAAGCGTACCTTTTTTTATTGCAAATTGTTTAAAAATGTCATTTTCACCCAAAAAAATAAATATATCCCCATAAAAAAACTTTTGGGGCAACATAAGTGACATCTAACCTTCAGCGATAAAACATTAAAATTTTTAAATATTACTGGAGTAAGGACAAAATTCTACCAATGGCAAAAACTTTTTCCTGTTTTTTTTTTAATGTTATTCGAAACATTGTATATACTACAAATTTTTTATTTCAAGAAGTTAATTTTTGTGGGGTTTTCAAATTCTTCAAGGAATTATTCTTTTTTTACATTATATGTTCGATTTATTTATAAGCCGAATTTTATGGAATAGAAAATTTAATTTTTAAAAAAATTGATGACGCGAAAAATTGCCTAGTATGAATACAACAATTTTTAGTATAGATACGAGTATTTAATATTAAATAAAGATCAACAATATAAAAAATAAATTAGCATAAAAGTTTTATAATATTTCTTAACTTTTCTACTCCGCTCCATTTTATCGCCTCTTATCTTTAGTTTTGGTGTTCTCGTTATCGCTACTCCCTTGTTTCTGAATTTTCTTCTTTCTTTTCTTCAACTTTTTTACGTTAGTTGCGTCTTCAGTTACATCACTTTCTTTTTTAATTGCATTTTTGATCGGAGGAGTCGCAGTGGTAGACGTTGAGGGCGGTTCCAAAGTTTCGTCTGAATTTTCCTGAGTTAGTACGTCCATTTCGATATGGAGTTCCTTATCATTATTGCTGTCTGAAGGCGTTGCGGTGATTGTGCCCAAAATGATTTCTGGAGTGCTCTTTAAGGCAGTTTTCCCATAATCGTCACCGATAACATCCTTGGTTTCAAAAATAATGGGAGACCTCTCCATCTCGGTACCCTCCGCTGTGGGTAGTACCAAATCCGGTAGCATCTGGGCATGATTTTCGGTAGCTAAAACGTCAGGTAGACATTCGGGAATCACCGTACGAAAATCTGAATGCCAAGAGTGTGCTAAAGTTTTGTTATCGCCTGTTTCTCCTGCGAATGTTTCTGATGTGCTATCTTCAAAAGAATCGACTCGGTCACCGATTAAAAAACCGACATGTATGTTCTTTTGTTTCGCTAGTTTCGAGAATGTCGATTCTTCGGATTTGTCGAAGAAACTCGGTCCGACAAAATCGTCTAGTTCGGTTTCATCGAATTGATGATCTAGTTCCCGTTGATCTGACATGCGGCTCTCTACGGTTGGCATGTAGATAATTTTCTGGCAATAATCACATCCGTAAGGTTGCCGGTTTAACGGACAAACATCTGGTCTATGCAAATTGTATAGAGACACAGGAGATAACAATGCGACAACGAAAAGAAGTATCATCGTGATGTTTCTATGATATGAAATCTTTTTTTTTTAATTTATATAGGAGATCGATGCAACGTGAAGGTCTATTTTCGATAAAGGTTTATTTTGAACGCTCGATTGAAAAGGTCGGTAATATTGTTTGTTTTGCCATTCAACCAAGAGCACTGATGCCGTACGTGATATAAAAAGACACATAATTGTTAGATATGTTGAAATTTTGGTACGTGTTAACATATTTTTTTGCCAATATTTTATAACAAGGTTAAAATGGGGGCAAAATATCATACCACATCGTTGTAAAATACAGTGAACTGATTTTAAGGAATTTGTCCTTTAACAAACGCTCACGTGGTATAAAATGTATATCAGCAACATTTCGGAGTTATTGCGACATTGGTAATAATAATTCGGTTAGTCATCAAAAATAGCAACTAAAAGTATTTCCAAAAATAAATTCTTATTTAAACTTAAATTGTCACCAAAGTTGATTAATTCAATTAGTTATATATAAAATTCAAATATATCGCGAAAATGTCATTAAGATAAAATAAAAACTCTTAATCGTGTTGGAGTTACTCAAGAAATCTGTCACATTTACGTAATATGAAAACAAACTCTTTTCGTTAAAAATACACAGCCGTTTAAAGGTTTCTATGGTTTAACATTTTAACTGCAACTTTTTCAGAAAAATAAATATTAATTTCAATATTGAAATTAATGGTGAACCGTTTTTTGCCAAAAAAATCTGCAAACAAAACCTTCCACTTAAACAGATTGATTTATTTTATTTATTTACATTTATTATATTATATATAAATATATTTCAGGATATATTATAGAACCTGCATTGCCTGTGGATCAAACTGTGACATTGTGGGAGAAGAATCCCTTGAAGCTGTAGAAGAAATTGTAATGGCGTTAAGAAGAAGTAATTTGATGTAATTTTTTTATAGTGATGTTATATTTTAAATCAACCACCAGGCACTCGAAATATTTGATTTTCAAATGTTCTAATATGGCTTCTTTTTAACTTTAAAGTAATAAGAGCCGAAAATAGGTCCTATTAATTTTATCTTTTTCTCATAAATTGGATTTAAAAATAATCTACATTTCTTACGGTTTGGCAAAATTTTGTTAAATATTTGTAAATGTATCACTAAAGTTAGAAAAACTGAGAGAATGGAAATAGTAAAGAAAATATTTACGACTGATTTTGATAATAATTCATGCTGGATTACCTGCCAAGTTTTATTTCATTATTTTCAAAAAAAAAATGCAAGGGTGTGTGGGGTGTCGGATGTTAATGTAGATAAAGTATAAAAAACTATTTATCCCCATAGCATAAAAAATATGCAATTTAAAAAATTTAAATAAAAAAATAAAAAAAAACTTTTTTTATGAAAAGCTTGATGTGCATATTTTCGAAGATGCATTTTAAGCCAAAAAATCTATAACTTGTATTATTTATGAAAACATCTAATACAAAACTACAAAAAGATAAATAACTTTAAAATAAGTCATATTCTAAACTTTATACCGGGTTTTGTTAAAAATATCGTTGTATGGTATTTCGTTTTTATTGTTATTTTTTATATTTTATTATCAAAATTGTTTTAAAGGCATTTAACTTTTAAAGTTTAAAAAAATAATCACATTTCCTTTAAACCTTTCACAACGTAATAGTTCATTTTTCTGGTTATGTATAAATTTTAAAATAATTACAAAAACTGTTAAAATTGGCTTGATTGAAAAAAATGAAAAGAATTTTTGACAAAATTATTCCATAGTTCTATAATGATATAATAGGACCGTAATAAATTTGATAAAAAAGTGACCTACTACCCTATTTTCAACGTTGTTGGTTTTTGGTTGAAACAATAATTCCAAGCCAAATCAAATATACTAGCCCCAAGATAATCATGCAATATTCAAAGGTTTGCTTAAAGAAAAATAGAGCAGTGTAGTGTATCGCCATCCGAAGTTCTAAAAATTGTATTTCAAAAACTGTGGAAAAATATGCTAAATTTAGGTATCACTGGTTGAAATTAGGATATCCGCTTCAAATACAAGCTCTAACATTTTTAGACGCGCATGTCTTGGGACACGGCTGGGTGTTTAGAGCCGAAGCTGGAATACACGATGGCGTGGTCAATGAAATTGTGGAAGCAATCGAAAATGGTTCGTATAATATGCTTGACTTATGCCAAATTTGGAAGGAACCATATCTCCGTTATGTATCACTATTTTGAGAAAAAATAAGTGTTTGCTTAAAATAGAAATATATTCATTTTAAAAATATTTTCAAATGTACATTGTTTCATAAAAATGCAACAACAGATTTTGTTTTTCTTTTTAAATTTCGATATGCGGCGTTCCCAAATTATTCGGAAAAAATAAAAAATTGAGAGTTTAGTAAAGAGCCTTACCTCACAGAGGGTTTAACTAATGTTTTTTCAGCTTATGGAACTTGTAACTAATTTTTCGCTTATTTTTTATCTACCATATATTCAGTTCTTGCCCTTCTATCACTTTTGTTACGGTTGTCCTGTCGCACACTGGTGCGACAGGACGACGGCGAAAGTATGACTCATCTTTTATAAAATCCTAGTACAGCTAGGGCTGGGGAAAATGTGTAACCTACCACATAAAAAATGCTTGATACAACAATTATTGCTTTAAAATATACAATTTACAGTATAGGCGAAAAGCGGCCGTTCTATTAGTGTTAAAAGTATATTTATGTTAAATCGGCAGTGTTGATTCAAATTTTAGTAGAACGAATACTGGAAGTTTGAAAAACCGGGCGTAATATAGACAAGAACGTAGCTGCTATTAAAATTTGGCATTTTTTCGATTTCCGATTTTTTTTTAAATGCTCAACATGACATGCAATTTTGAGTGTAATTATCGAGTCATAGTGGACGATCTAAATGGTAATACAAAAATTGCATAATTCAAAAACGCAAGTCTTTTTGAGTACTACAATCCAAAAGAAAAGTAGACATCCGTGTTTGAGGTATTGAGGAATCAGCATTGTACATCTTACTTTGTAGGATTCAGCTCGTGAACAACAATATTCAAATGCTTTTTTTTGTGAACGCCTTTTTTGTTTTATTCTACCTTCTTTAAAAAAGTTTGCAACGGAAAATCATATGCCATCTAGCCGGATTTTTATTCTATAGCCGTTTAAACCGTGAAAGAAATCTCTTTTATGAATCGGGTAATAAAACATACTTTATCACTTAGAAAGGGATAATTTTTTCTTAACAATTGAATTAAAGGGTTATCAGGTTTCATCAATAATTCACATAACTTGTAGGAAATTTTGAACACACTCACGGTTTTACACTTGAGTACAGCAAATAGTAACTGTCAAAACCGAAAGACAAAAATCTTGTTTCAAAACTTTGTAATGCATACGAACACGTGAGCACCTATAAAAAAGATACTCACAGCTACGCCATTATAAATATTAAACTTGAATTTTCTTGATAATAGGTAACTTTCTGATTATTCCAAAGTCTTCCATTGGAAAGAAACTATAAAAAAAATTGAGAAACCAGTTTTGTGTCACTTTGAAATATTGCCGACTTTAGCAAGCATTTTTTAATAATGTTTATTTTTCACTCCTTTGAACCAGTTTCCCTTTAAAAGTGTCCAATTTGGCCCACTCGCTACGATTGAAAATATTTTTAAAATGTCTTTTGATTTTATGCAACATTCCTCAAAACAAATTTTTGAGATAATGATAAGTAATGCTAGTAAATACTTCCCCACGCTGTATATATCTTATAATAGGTTCTGCTGGGAGTATTAGAAGTATGCTAGAGGCTGGATGGAGATTCGAAGCAGCGCAAGCCCTATACGTATTTTTAACACGTATAGAGCAACCACTTATCCCAGTTTCAATTCAGTCGCTTGTTTTAGGTACGTATAAATTCCTTAATAAATTTAATCGGTTAACCTAATAATTTTGCGCCAAGGTAGCGGTTTCCTCAGGTTGACGATTGGTACCCACTTTTGTAAACATTTGCGCGGTCAAAAATTAACACAAAACATTTTTTGCTGACGATTTACGAGTCGAATGAAACTTAAAACTTTGTACGAAAAAAAAATAGTTTATGTTCGTGTGTGAAATAATTAATAGTACCGACCTATTAATACCGAGTGTTCTATAATAAAAGTAGCGAATCCTCACCCTATTTTAGGATGAAAATGTATACAATTTTTTCAGACACCCCTTCATTTTGAAAACATCTTTATTTTTTAATCGTTTTGTAATAATAAAATTGGCTATTTTAAGTGATAATTTTGCGCAAATTATAGTCAAATTATTAAATCCTGTTACTTCTCGAAAGGTTTCTTTACCAATGTAATTCATAAAAACGATCCATTGAGCCACATTTAAATTGATTGATATTGTTTTTTGAATTTAGCAACAATGGGTATGTCTCTAAAATTATTTTGTATAACATATTTGAATTTGTATTATTTGTATTTTGTTTCGATTTCTCGAAAAACGCAAAAACAACTTTAAGCTGTCTCGCATAAGGTGATCAATATACTTTTCTTAAAACCTGTAATATTTAATAAGAAATTTTAAATACGAAAGTTCTTTGTATTTAAGGAAAGGCGAATTTTTCGGCATCGACATTAACTTTGAAATTTTAAACGAAACACCATATATATAATTACGTTTTTGGATTTAGTGGTAAAACCAAATTTTTATCATACCTTGAAATATCTCCTAAACTATGGGGAAATGAAATACATTGGACTGATGAAAATTATCTTTGTTTTTACCACTAAATCCAAAACGCAATAAATAATTGGGGCACCCTGTATATAATGCAAAAGTGAATAATCTAATTGAAGAGTGTTAATGCCGAAGGGGGTATGTGCCAAAATCACATTTTTCTACTCCCTTCTGTAGAATACCTATAGCCCCTTCGGACATTTCCGGGATATTTCAGCACGGGTTTAGGAGCAATCGGATGTTTTCGGAGATTTTACCGCACGGCTTGAATTTTAACGGTATGCAACACGTTTGGTAAAATTTTAAGTCACTCTTTAATTAAACACTCGCTCCACTCGTGCCAAATAAACTCGAATTGCCGTTAACCGCACTTGTTCCATAATATACTATTTTGAGATAATCAAGAAAAAGTGTTTAAATTTACAACAGTGGTTCTAATTGCTGGTGTTCGTAAAAATAAGATAATAATTATAACGAAAGGCACAGGACAATTCCACTCTTCAATTTCCTTAAATACAAAAGTATTTGTATTTAAAAGGTCAGGTTTTGGTTAGTTGTATACAGGTCACCTTGTATGAGACGCACTGTACATTGTGTCCAATTTTTGATGGTTTTACGGTATATCTCCTTTAAAGCTTGGGTAGTTGCCGCTTTCCGGGCTCAAGTGTTTCATGTAATGAAAGATGGCTCAAACAGGAATGTCATAGCTGTCTTTAGTTTTAATATACAGAAAAGGTGAAAGCTCGTTTGGATGGAGTTTTTTACTTAGTTTTGTATAACAATAGTAACCAAAACGAAACTTGTATTTTTTTTTAATGGAATGCGCTGTATCTTTTAATAATTATATTAAGCAGATTTATTTTTTTTTATGATAATATAATTGAAATTAAATGTAAAATACCTAATTATCCACCGATCTAGCGTGAAGCGTCACTTTACCACGTCAATTTCGTTTCCCATGAATCCGGATATTTCCGGGATTTTACCGCGCGGATTTGAGAGCAATCGGATGTTTTCGGAGATATTTCCCATGTCTTGAATTGTCAATTATGACGGTCATGTCAGTGAATGTATTCGTGTTGTTTTGTGAAAATGTACCCAAAAACTAATGGTTGTAGAAAAAATATAGTATGCAACACGTGCGGTAAACTGTTTAAGTCACTCGTTTATTAAACACTCGCTCCGCTCGTGTCAAATAAACTCGTGAGTCAAATGCCGTTTACCGCACTTGTTGCATAATATACTATTTCCTATGCCTCATGTTATCAATTCTGAGGAATTGGATATAATATTATCTATGCGCATTTATTTTTTTTTAATTTTTAATTTTTTTAATTTATTTATTTTTGTAATAAATTATGTAATTTTTAAAAAACCAATTTTCTATTACAACAAATATTCACTTTGTATATGAAATGTCGTTTATGAAACAACATTGAAACAAATACACGTTTAGTTGATTTATCAAAATGTGTACGCGTCAGAAGGAACTGACTATACGCGACTGGATCCTACATAAAAATTAAACATTTCCATATTGCGATGACATTTCTGCTTGTGCCACTTTACTATACTACAGAAAATAAATAATTCTGAACTCTTAAATATTGGTCAATACTTAAATTTCGTATTTTATGTAATGTAAATTAAATCTATCCATGAGTTAGTATCAAGGACACTTTTAACAATTTCCGAGCATTAGACTTATCGGGGACAGTTCATTTGACGTTGTTAGTTGATGTATTTTGTGTTAATAATGACAAAAAAATTAGTAACAATTACTTATTTTTTGAAAATTAATGAGCAATCATTTCTGTGAGTTGATTTTTTTCCAATTTAGATAACAACAATGCAAACATTCCGCCAGAAATGGTGGCCTCAGACGTTTTGGGGCTGATAAAAGAGCAACTTCCGCCGACTCATATCAGATTGTTGGCATTGATTTTACACTTGTTGGATTGTAGTATCAAACTATCCCCTGCTGACGAACTGCGAGGCCATACTCTGCCCGTTTCCATGTTGCCTGTATTTTTTAATATTCAGGTATTATTTATATTAATAGAGATACATTGGTGGATAAATTAGCAATTACTTTAAATGCTAATTAGGATGACAAATGCGGAAACACAAGTGAATATGTCATTTCCGAATAAATAATAAAAATGGGCATTTGTAATAATACTTTGTTGCCATTGAAACTGTTCTGCTATTTTTCCTATAAGCAATTATACCAGAGAATAAAGGAAAAAAATGTCGAGAAGGCCGTTTCAATATGCACATGCGCGGTTGAGACAGTTCATCAACAAGACAGACAGATTTCAATTTAGATGTGTCATTTTTCTGATAGTACTTTTTAATTTTTATTCAATATTGTATAGGTACTCTTATATTCTATGGAAAATTTGTAAAACATTGTAAAATAAACACGGTGTTTCTTCTAAATGGTATGTCTTTGAATTTGCCTATTTGAAGCTTTTTTAAAATTGTCACCCTGCAAATGTTGTCGAGAGTTAACAATAGCTGCAAGACATTTCGAAAATTTATTGTAAATACAGATTTCTTTTCATTTTTATTTTGGTTTTAGTTACTAGTTGTCGTTATAGCCTGGATAATAAATTGCTTTTCAAGTTTCACAAAATGTTTAAAATTCTTATCATACAATAAACAGACATTACATCACAAGATCACAATTGCGCGTATTGTGTACGTTTTTTTTATAATTAATCGTCCATCTTTAATACTTTACTGTAGATTTCGCTTACATAACTTAAATGTATTTGAGAAACCAAAATTAGGTTACATTTTGACAAAATTTAAATTATTAAAAAAAAACCTGGAGGTAGGCATACACTTTTGGGACTATGAAACCAATTTTAATAAGTTACTGTTACGTGACCCTCCTTATATATTCTGCCAGATTTTTTTTTCATCATAAATTCTAATTATGCAGCAAATAACAATTAAATTACTAACAATTTTATCAAAATGTAAATATATGTTGCAATATATTTATTTATTTTTCAGAATCATCACTTAATGCGGGAGTGGAGAAGGATCATAACAATTTTTGTTGAAATAATTCGACAAGCCTCATCAGCTTTAAACGTTTTTCAACATATTTCATAGCTTGTAGTAATTGATACTATCAATAGAATCTATAGTAATAATACATCGCGTTTTATTTACCATATCCTTTTTTAAGTAGTTACAGGGTAGGGAAATTTTTTAAAACACTTCATAAATTACCTCTTGATTTGAGAACTACTTTTCTAATTTTAAATCTGGGAATTGGTTAATCTCTCTTATTTTTCATACAAAAAAAAATGTCACATTGGACCTATTTTTAAACATAGAAAAAACTTTTTAAAAATATATTTATTTGAAAGCGTCCTGATCTTTTATTCGTATATTACATACATGTCAATCTTAACATATTCTAACATCCGAATGTATAAACAAAGGGAAAACCTAATTTTCAGCTCTTTCTCTGCTATGCTTTTTCTTTGGCTTGTATTTCTCCCAGTGTCTATGATTTACAGAGGAAAAATCTGTACAATGGTCTGCAAGATCTTTCAAGTATTTGGATAATCTCAAAAGTTCATCATCTGCATATCTATTCAAATGTGCTTCTCGAAATGGACGGATTCTTAAACCATTTTTGGGATTCATGATAAAATTTCGGCGTATGTCATCAAACATTATAGTATTCTTAGTAGAAAATTGGGGAAATTTGCCCCAAATGACTCCTAGTGGTTTTACCTATAACAATAAAATTATAATAAATACTAAAAACCTGTAGTATTAATTTACATACATCTATAACACCATATTTCGGTGTGTGAACTGAAATCATAGCAACAGAATCCAAATAAAATGCAATTTTGTAACTAGGGTGCTTGTCCACACCTAGTAATTTCATTTTTCCAATGATCCACTTCATACTTGTTGCTGACCAAATGACAATGTCATAATGTTCATAAGCACTGGTTAAAAATTCATGTAAATAAGGTCTCATTAACTCAGCACCAGATTGACCAGTTGACCTATGGTCAAATAAAGTATAATCAATATCCAATACAAGTAATTTCTTATCGGGTCGTAGATCGTTAAGCATCTTTACTTCATAATCTTTTACTCTCCTATTTACTTTTGCAAGGTAAATTTCTTGATTTTCAATTGCAATCTCTTCCTCTTCAATGTCAAAGTCATTTACAACTTCTGGTAAATTGGAAGGGGCAGTGTTGGCTTCAACTATATCCTCTTCAAGAGATCCCATCATCATAATTTTGAACCCTGGCTTCAATTTAAGGTGACCTATTCGACATTCCTCATCCGCTACTTTACCTGAAACCAACAGGTAAACTTATCATATCAGATATTCTTAAAAATTACAGTATGGGTATGAATCTTTTTTGTTACCTTTAAGTTTTAAATTCAATAGTTTTTGTCGTTCTGGCCTTACAGCAGTCTTATACAATATTTCTCGTTTTAAATCCGCCACGGTATCGTTCTCCGACACATATATTTCGTATTCTTTTCCGCTCCATTTTATTGTTAACGGGATTTTTCCGTCCATAGCTAAAAGAAATTGAGAAAAATTTAACTTATTTTCGTTTGAATATTTGAGGTTAAAATGTTTATTTGTCAAAGCATGAAAACAAAATTTTCCACCAGCACCATTTTGTAAGTTTATTCTATGCCACATTATTATGTTTAATAGAACATAACCTATCTTAATCTTAAACAACAAACTACAAAATACATGTTAAAACAATGAGCGATTCAGATTCTAGTACTGAAAATATTGGCATTTTGAAAAAGGCTTTAGACGTTACTTTGCCTGAAGATTTTAATCCTAACTCGGTTCCTACTAATGGTTCGCAGGCATATTTTGTTTTAAGTCAATTGATTGTCCATTTATTCTAGGAGAGGAATATTTACATCATGTTATCTATGAGAGGACCAGACATAAAAAGTGTGTGAAAGCGGATAAAGATTTTAGCGCATTTAAGAAGAATCAAACAATCCATGTTACTGATGTATGGGCGAGTAATTAGAAAATGTGTTTTAAATTATTTTTTGGCTGTTTTACAGGAAAACCACATTCAGAAATCATTAGATAAGTTTTATCCTACTGCTGAATGGGAAGAAAGAGTATTAAAGGATTTTATCCAAGTGAGACAATTTATTGAAAAACATTTACCCAGTCAACCCATAAAATGCAACTTCAGCAATGAATTACTTGACAAAACTCCCCCATTATTTTCTGAAATAAGTACTTACTCCCAAAGTGGTAAATTAATTATGCTCCAGCAATTAAGTAGAAGCTTAGATCATTTTGATCCAGACGTTGGAATAAGTGATAATATAGGAGCAAGGGTATATGCAATTTTGGCTTTATTAGGTGTGCCTTTGAGTCCTGACTCTTGTTACAACTTAAGGGAGTTTGCCAAGAAATGTGCAAATGTTAGAGCAAAATTGAATAGTGAAACAAAAGAACAAATTTATGCTCCATTAAATCTATTTATTTGTATAATTACTAAACATTTTGCTCAGTGTGATTTAGCTTAATGTTCTTACTATTGAAATATAGACATTGTTAATATATTAGGTTATAGTTGCAAAGAAAATATTTTTAAAAAAATCCTGTCACTGATATTGAATCGCATTATATTTAGAACTATAAAAATATTTTACTACCAGCCTTGTTTTATTTATTACTGTATTCAACCCAAAAAAAGTGAATGCAATTAATAGCTTAATTTAAAATATTTGGTTATAACAGCAACCATTAGCATATGATTTTTTTCATGGTTTATTTTCAGTTCATATTTAAGATAAAAGACAAATTCAAGTAAAAAAAATTGGGATCTTCAAATAACACTTTTTAAGTAGTGTTGAATATATTTCATCTTTCTGAGTCTGAGGCCCTACCAACAGTTTCCAAATAAACACCTAAAGCTGAGGAATGTAAAGGGAACATAGAAAACAAAGGGAAAAGGAGAGCCGAACATTTTATTTAAAATATAACATTTATTTCTCCACATGAATGATTCTAGTGGGGAGATAACATTGAACTCACGTTTACAACACATAAAAATCATTTCGAAATATACGTTTTTACAATTTCCAAGAAAAATTAGATTAAACCAAGGATAAAATTATTTTTCAGTATATTTTAGCTACTACCACCACGGCTTATTTTAAATAATGAGCTCTAGTACTTTCGTGATAGTGCTTCATGAATCTTGGCACGCATGTGTTCATTCATTGATTTTTTAAATGCGGTTCTTGTCTGGCACATGTCTACCTTCATAAGGTTGTCCTTATCTATCAATATTTTTATTTGTGTGGGCGAAGCATGAGTGTGTTCTGATTTTTGACAGTTCTGAAGGAAAGTTTGTAAATTTTGTATTTCCAACAATTTTTTTTATATGAAAAAATGGAGTTGTTTCGCACTGCAGAATTTTACATTTTCGTCAAGGATCAACATTCCCTATGGTGGGATCGACAAACTGGGGCGTTTATTCCAAAAACTGGTAGATATTGAAAAAACTTTACTTGTAAAAAACTTATTGGCAGAATTATTGAAATTTAGGATACTTATTTTTTTCTGTTTTAGGGTGGGATTTAACAGACGCCGAAGATCCAGTTTGTTTGGGAATTTTTCACGGTATAATTGGCAAAGTAGAATACAATCCCTTGTTTGATCCTAGACTTTTGCTGATAAAAGAAAGCGTTTTGGTGGGCAAGCTTCATGGAAATAATGAAGTTTACAAAATCAAATCGGTAGTTTTTCTTCCGTTGAATCAAGAAAACATAGAATTAAATTTAAAACCTTGCAGCAAACACAAAACAATTAACATAAAAAAGGCCAATAATACAAATTCATTCATGGACATTCAAAAAACTACCTTAAGTAAAACATGGGGCACATTGAAAAGTGCAGGAAACACCATAAAAAACACTACACAACATGCTGCTGCAATTGCATCTGGCATTCCGAAACGAGATACAAAACTCAAAGAAAAATTTGAAAAACAAATTGTAGAAGAGTTTTACAAAATATTTAATGACACCAATTCTTTTTACTATTCATTCACCACAGATTTGACAAATTCATTGCAAAGGCACTGTCATTTGGAGAAACATAACATGGTAGATCCAAAGGCTTTATGGAAAACAGCAGAGGACAAGTTTTTTTGGAATAAGCATATGTTGCAAAGTATATTGGATACAGAAGTAAGGATCTCCATGCATTTGGAAAGTAGAGTTTATTATTGAAGAAATGGTTTTTAGAACAATTTGTGTGATCCATGGATTTTACCAATAATACAAGGATACATTCAAATAGAGGATTGTAAAGTAGAACTAGGTCCATTTGTTGGGGAACCTGTTGAAAAACAGTTTGAAATATTTTCTTTATGCATTTTGTCTAGAAGGAGTCGATTTCGTGCAGGAACAAGGTATTTTATATATTTAAACGTATTTTTTATTTATTGTTAGTTTTGGTTCATTGAATTTATTTAACTAAATGGCCAAGTTGCCCATTGCATTATTGTTAAATAGTCTCCACTAACATTTATTTTTCTGAATCAGTTGAGCTTTTTTTAAAATTAATTATTTTTTACTTATACTTTAGATATAAAAGAAGAGGAGTAGATGAAGAAGGTGAAGTGGCAAACTATGTTGAAACCGAGCAAATAATTACCTATCAAACACATGAAGTATCATTTTTACAAGTTAGAGGATCTGTACCTGTCTTCTGGTCACAACCTGGTTATAAGTATAGGCCTCCACCTCGTTTGGATAAAGGTAATGCACAGTTTTGAAGGAAAATAGTAATCCCATCAATTGCAATTTTAGGCTCATTTATTTTGATCAATTTTTTGTTGTTTATAAAATGAAACATTTTTTGTTAATACTGTTTTTTTCAATTGTTTTTGCTTAATTTCTATATATTTTGTTCAGTGGTATTTTTTTTAACACCTATTGATAAAACGAAAACGTGTTTATTTTCTAAGAAAATCATAAGTATACATGCTCAGAAAATTGAATAAATCGCTTTTTTCAAGGCGAGCCTGACACATGCATAGCTTTTCAAAAGCACTTTAATAAAGAAATACAAAAATATGGACCCGTTTGTGCTATCAATCTTATTGACCAAACTGGAAAAGAAAAAGTGATATTTGATGCCTATTCACATCACATGTTACTCATGGATAGTCCTTTCATAACTTATGTCACCTTCGATTTTCACGAATATTGGTAAGTTTGTTAGAATAAGGTAAGCTAATGATATTTTGACATCATTCTTAGCAGAGGAATGCACTTTGAAAATGTATCAATTCTAATAAATGCTGTGGCCGATGTTATAAAAGATATGAACTATTGTTGGAGAGATAAGCAGGGCCACATCTGTTCTCAGAATGGAGTATTCAGGGTGAATTGTATGGATTGTCTGGACCGCACCAATGTAGTTCAGGTATATACAAATAATTGTCTAATCAACCACCGCTAATCCGAATATGTGTTGTGTTTTTCTATTTAGACGGCATTAGGAAAAGCGGTCATGGAAATTCAGTTTTGTAAATTAGGATTAGTGGCGCCAGAAGGTGAGATACCCAATAATATCAAAAGTACTTTTCAACTACTGTGGGCGAACAATGGTGACATCATTAGTAAACAGTATGCTGGAACCAATGCTTTAAAGGTAATATATCTACAGTATTTTTGAGAAACAAAATAGAGAAAAATCAAACCTTTTTTTTGTCTAAATCATACTTTGTTCTTTGAGATTTGGCTCAGTTTCATTCCAAAGTATTTGAAAAGTGTGTTCTTTATTATATTGGCAATAAAGGAATTTATTCCATGGTAAAGTACATCTATATTTATATCCATTACATGAAACTTGATTTCAGGGTGACTATACGCGAACAGGAGAAAGAAAGTTTACCGGAATTATGAAAGATGGCATGAATTCAGCAAATAGGTAATATTTTACAAAACAAAATAGCCGTTGTTGATTTTTTTCTTATTTTTTTTAACTTTAACTCAAATATGTCTGATTAAAGTACATGTGCATTGTCAGCTCCCAAATTTGGAAATAATTTAAAGCATTTCTTTAATTTGTTTTTCATTTGACACCAGTAAAAAAGAGAAGTGATTGATTTTGCTTATTATTGTAGATATTATATAAATGTATTTAAGGATTCAATACGCCAATGTTGTTTAGACATTATGCAGGGTGTTCATTTACGTGAATACGAAATTCAAGATTTTTGGGCCTATATACGCATAGCTGGCAGTATTGCAAATGAATACCTTCCTATTGAGCCACCATCTTTCGCACCGCATTTGGCGCTGCAGCAAGAATTCGATTTCGCTTACCTTTTATACCACATTACTAGGTCAGTCCCTAACATATCCAATAAAATATTTTAAATCTTTATCCATTGTATTTTTGGCTTAATGTACTTTGCCTACTTATTTCAATGTGCTTTAACTAATGTTTTGTATCATGAACCAAGTGAGATGTGTACATTATTGCGGCGGGACCCTAAAAAGTATAGCGAAAAATGAATGAATGAATGAATGAATTAATTGGGTTTATGTTCATATTTTGTTTGATAAAAAAATTAATATAAGTGCGCGCACTAAGTTAGTTTTTCCAAGATTTTTAATCTTCCATCCTGTCGTGGATTTGCTAAATATTCGGAATGATTACATCAGTCTAATCATCAATTTTCGCAATTTGCATTCATTTAAAAAAGTGATGATGAAAAATTACCCAATATATATTTGTTTTTATTTTATTATTTATATGGGTCACTAATAAAAAATATAAATATTGACATTTGATCTTTACCTTCAATCTTTACTTTTTTTTGTGAAGTGATGTCTATTGTGTTTTTTTTTTGTTAAATTTATAAATACATAATTTTTGTCATTTTCCATAATCTTAAAGTCTGTAATTTTTTTCCGGTAACTTACTGCTTCAGAATAAAATGGTTTCATCCTTTAACGCTTAGCTATTTCATTCTCAAGATCACCGCTGTTGTGTTGATTTTTCAGTTACTATTATTTAATTTAACTCAATAGTTAATGAGCTCCTTGATAAAATACATTTTCAACGTTAGTATTTTTTCTTGTGATGTGTATTAACAGCCCTTCGTGTTTTTGTTTCTTTAAAAATATGTTTTGGAACTTCCAATTCAAAGTCCTTATTTTCGAAAGATACTTTTAACAACAGTATGTATTAACCAACAAAAGAATTTTCGAAACACTGAATTATTTTCTTCACAGGTACTACTTGAGCCGTTTTAAAGATTCAACTCGGCAAGGAACAATAGATATTATGTTAGGTACATATATTAAGTGGAAATATTGTAATATGATTCATTTGGTATATTAATTTAAGGCAACTATGTCTCAGAAGATGCTTTTAATGAATCTAAAGCCGCGCAATTCGAAGAAGACATGATGGCTACAGCTGAACATGTTAAACTCCTAATTGAAGACTGCAAAAAAATGCTCATCAATCAGCCTGAAATGGTGGTTGGCGCTTGGGGCCTTATCAATGCTGACCCTTCAACTGGTGATCCTAGTGAGACGGACATGGATTCAATTGTTATATTAACGAGAGATTCTTATTTTGTGGCTGATTATGACGATCAAGTTGACAAAGTCACTAATTACCAAGAGGTGGAACTTGCAGACATTACTTTGATTGAATTTGGTGTACCAGAGTCATCTAACTCTCTCTTTAGGACAAATAAAAACAAATATTGCATTAGAATTAATTATAAGATTAATGGTGTTACTGGCTATTACCACATGTACCGGTCAGCCAATTTGAGATTTTTTAATAATATGGCAGTGGTTATTAAAACTGTAGAGGAGGAAGTAGGTAAGTATTGGGACCAATTTTTTTTATTTGTGTTATAATGGGCAGCTTCTTTTTTATTACAGAATCTTTGAAGACAATTTGCGAGGCATTTGTGGTTGCAATAGAAATAGCGGGCCTACCATTTGTGCCGTTTAAATCGGGCGAAGCTCTCGACAGGCGAAAATCGAGAGTTCTGCGGAATAAGACGAATAATAGTAGTATTTATTTAGATTTAGTAAATTTACCCCAAATAACAAGAAATGTATCAGAGACACAATTATCTGCAATAAAAAGTGCTGGTAGGTTATTATGTTTCCCTTCCAGGAGTTGGTCTATAAAATAAAATTGTTTGACACCTTAAACATTTATTTTGTTCAGAGATGATAACAATTTCACTACAAATTTATTACTACAATCTGAGAATTATATGCAGCTGTAATTATATGCAAATAGGATAGGAATGAGAATGTTTGATTTCTTGATCAATCATATTTATTTTGTTATGGGAATAAGTAAAGAAGTGCACAGATGATCTTAATCCTTAAACCTTGAGTATATTTATTAAGTCACTGACACATTTGTATTAAGTTTGTTATTAGATTTTATCACAATTTGATATTTATCTTAATTTCAGGGTCTAAAGCATTCTCCAACATGACCCAGCAGTTTTCTAAATTGAACAAGTTGTCTTTTAAACACAACAAACTTAAAGAGCCCCATTTCACTATCGGACTGCAATCAAAGCATGACACGTCCAGTGATTCTGAAGACGAATATGAGAATTCGATTTTTCAGCCTAGCATTTCGGCCGAAAGTGGTAATTCTCTCCAATACCCTACCGATTCTAGCAGCGGCAGTATCGAACAGGGTCATGAATGCATAGAAGATTCTGTATTGGCAAATCAAGATTCCTTTTTGCCCAGTGTCGGTATAGTAATGGGACAAAAAAATGAAACAACTCCGCAAGCTACGTTGGAAAATAAACAGAATTTGTTGACCCGGATGGATTCTTCTCAACTTGATCAGATGCAGTTGTCCAGCATTGTGCAAAATGTGTCAATTAACAATGTTAATCAAACTCCTGAAATACAAGTAAGTATTTTATTAGCGGGTGGGGTTTTTAAAGGCACCCTATTTAATTATAATAATGATAATTTTATGCCTATTATATTTCAGCTTAATTTTGAACAGCTCGAGACCGCGGAATCAAAAATGGAACCACCAAAGACTTTAAATCTAGATAGAAAAATAAGTCACTCATCTGGTGAAGTGGATGATCCTTCTTCAATTGTCGAGTATAAACACATAGATCATTCTTCTTCCGAGTGTGATGTTCAAATGAACATCAGTCAGTCGCAAAGTGAGTCGGCGTTAAAAAACAAATTAGGCAATATAGCCAGCCCTGTAACCAGTGCTACCAAAGAGCTGTTTTCACCTCTTACTAAATTGGCTAAAGAAGTACAAAATTTTGGCGCTAATTTGGACCCTAGGAAACTTAGCGGCACAGTAAGGCAGGTGACTGAGAGGGATATGGAGGAACATAGAAAGTTGCAAGAGAGATGGGTAAATAGCAAGACTAGGCTAATAGCGCTTTAAGCCAAATCAGGGCTTGCCAGATATTGGGTGTAGTTATGTTACTATCTTGTTGCAGGCCTAGTTTCTTAAAACCGGGTTCTATACTTAGCACACATATTAGGCAACTATCTACAGCAGCGTCGATATCAGAAATATCTAGAAAATGGTTTGGTAATTCATACGCATATATCGGGATTGAAAGAACATCAATTTCGCAACCAGCATCTTTTTGATATAGCATAATTTGCTAAATCAATAACTTGTTATGGCATAATTTGCTAAATTAATAACTTTATTCATTTTGTTACTGGTGTCAGCAAGTTAGCATATATTGGTTGTCATAACAATTCACGTTAAACAATTATTTTTTGATCACTAGAGTATGTTCACGGGCTCTGGTTGTATTATTGTTCCTTATAAACTATCTATTATAATCAGTTTGGTTTTTTTACATACGTTTTTACAACGAGGAGCTGGTTATTTATTATTGCCTAGATACCAAAGCAAGATATATCTAATTTATTATATTGCGATAATTATTCTGCTATTCTACTGTTAATTATACTAGAACTGTCGTGCAGCGTTCTTTCGTTTTCCTGTCACCTCGCCCACCATAGGTATCAAGTGATTGCACTCAGATAACATAACCTCCAATCATATGTTCCTTCGTAGTGATAAAAGTGAACAAACGTAAATGATAAAAAAATTATTTTCACCTAAATAACTTCAGTTGAATACAATACAAATACATTTCTCACCTTCTCTTTAATTGGAAGAATTTCAGCGAATCGCTTAATAATAATCGACGTAATATATGGGTCTGAATCACATTGAATTGCCAAATTTTTTTCGAATTTCAGAAACAACTTGCAATTTGATTTGCTTGATTGATTAATATTACAACAAAATAGTAATGTTCCTAATACACTCCTACATAGGTATAAATTGTAGTATACCTTGGCTCAATATAGAGAGGTGCTTTGCTATAAGGACATTATTGGAGCCAAAACGGTTTTAGATGTGATATAATCTTCTGGCCTGTTCTAGCTGAGGAATAGTTATATCATTGTTTTATGTATGACAATTGTTTCTTTCCGATTGAAGGTGCGTTATATATTCATTTTTATTATTTGAATGGGTATAATGTTGGTATATCAAATTTTATTTTATTGTAATTTTCAACTTTTTTTAAATAAATTTTTCTTCGCTAGTTTTATAATAACCAAAATTTTAGAAGCGGAATATTTCTTCATTCTACACTTTTTCGATTTTTATACTGGTTCAATATTGAAAATGCACCACAAAACGAAACTAATTAATTAATTCCTTGCTCTATCTTACAGTTTGTTTGATTGTTTTAATATGGAAATTAAGCACCATACCTTCGTATTTACCATTTTGTAACTAAAGCTGACAACGTCAATTAAAATTTTTAATCAAATACTTAGGAAACGCTTACTTAGTAGGTATTGTATCAAAAATATGATATGATATTCGACATTTTTTCATGGTGTCGAGTTTTAATGCTACTCCTTGTTTTGGATATGTTGGTGAATCGTATTAATTTGTGATATAGATTTAAAATTGTTATTTTAAAAGGCATGTTTGTTGTTTTAATTGTTGGTCGTTATTAGGCTATAGAAACCAGTGACAATTTTGTAGATTTGTTTCAAATAAAAGTCATTGTAACAGCGAATTGTTTTATTTTTGATCTGGCTTGACCGTGTGAGAAAAAAAATCAAATAAAATCGTAGACATCATCAAACGAGTCCGGTGCCACTAAATAAACAGAAAATTATTTGATCACGCTGAATTGGAACAGGTTAAGGGTAAATATACGTCGATGCTTTGTTGCCATTCAACCAAAGCTTTTTAGCTGACATTTTATACAATAACATTTTCTTTTAACCGGTCTTACTCACATCTATTAAAATGGTTCGATATACGAGGGGTATTACATATTCACATTACCCCTTGAACGACTGACATCGGTGTTAAAGAAATAAATTTGATAGTATAGGTGAAAATTAAATTATTTAATTAAGTGATTTTTCTGTGACAAAATCACCATGTAACAATAAAAACTATTTCAGTATTGCGTTTCATAGGAAGTACTCTAAAGATAATATATGAACGATAGTGAGTAGCGTTGCTGAAAAAAATTACCAATGACCAGCCTAATTAATACTTTTGAAAAGAAAAAGTAAGGCATAGGATTTGAAGTATTTTTTTATTACTTTAAGTGGGTATTTCGTATATTATGTAGATGAGGTATGAATTACGCGTCAGATTGAAGATAATATCTTGAATATAATTTTACTATAGTCCTTTCTTTTTTGAATTGTATAAACATTTATTAGCTTCTGTTTTAGAAAAAAGTCAAGTGCGTGATAAGCATTTCCGATTGAAATTAATGGTGTTCCATCGATCGATTTTGAACATTTATTTTATTAACCAATACTATGTTTACACATTTCATTCGATAGCTACGGCCTGGCCTACATTTTCTTGAGAAACGGAAATAAAACCCTCTTCCAAATAATTAAGCTTTAGGATCTAAAACAAAAATTACAATTCGTACAACTTGGAAGCGGTATCATGTCACGTCAATGGTTTTTAGTGTTTGAAACCAAATTTTCAAACGCCGAGCTGGGTCGTGAATAAAACAAACAAATCCCTCAAAACTTCAGGCTAACAAATGACCGCAGAACCAGGTTCAATTTTTAAAAGGCTTTTCAACTTCACTGGGTTTGATCCAATAACAAAGTTTAATGTCAGTTTCGCCGGAAAAAGCGCGAAAGAATAAAGATAATTTATATGGACATCAAAATCAGCAGCATCCTCTTTAATTAATTTTGCGCTCGCCTATAAAACATCTTGAATTCTAACTCTTTATTCTATTACGTGTTATAGGCAATTATTCACAAATACTTATATAGAAGCGACATATTATTATAATTTTTGAATGCTCTTGTATTTAGAATTTCGTCTGCTATGGGTATCAATGTACTACAACACAATTGGCTGAAAATTCATTTTTTTTTGCGACGTTAGTTTTTTACATTCACTGATATGACCGTTGCAAAAACAACACGAATACATTCACTGACATGACCGTCAAAATTTGCAAACGTCAAAGTCAAGCCGTAGTAATATCTACGGAACAGCCGATTCCTCCCAAACCCGGGTGGTAATACCGCGGAAATGTCTAAAGTGATTCCGATTCGTCGGAAACGAACCTGACGCGGTAAAATGACATTTTCTGCACGCTACATCTACATCTCTGTATTTTAAAGAAGTAGAAATTAGTATATTAAGCAACAAGTGCGGTAAACGGCATTTGACTCACGAGTTTGACACGAGCCGAGCGAGTTTTTAATAAACGAGTTAGTTAATAAGTTTACCGAACCTGTTGCATACTATACTTTTTCTACGACCGTTAGTTTTTGCGTACATTTTCGCAAAACAACACGAATATATTCACTGACATGACCGTCAGAATTGATAAACGTCAAAATTCAAACCTTGGGAAATATTTCCGAAAACATGCAATTGCTCCCAAATCCGTGCGGTAAAATCTCGGAAATGTCCGAGATGTAAAATGTCTTTTTTCTACTCCCGTCTGTAAAATACCTAATTACACACCGATCTAGCGTGCGGGAAGCGTCACTTTACCACGTCAGTTTCGTTTCCCACGGATCCGAGCCACTTCGGAAAAGTCCGGGATTTTAAAACAAGATGAATACTGACATGTGCGTCAGAACTGACAAACGAGTGGGACATATCTCCGAAAACATCCGATTGCTCCCAAACCCGCTCGGTAAAATCCCTGAGATATCCGAAGTGGCTCGGCTCCGTGGGAAGCGTCACTTTACCACGTGGTAAAGTGACGCTTCCCGCACGCTAGATCGTGTATCGTTTAGTCTGCAATAAGTTCGCTAATAGTATATTATGCAACAAGTAATCTGCATTTGACTCACGAATTTATTTCACACGAGCGAATAGGTTTAATTACTACTAGTAAATATTTTGTTTGAATGGTACGAAATTTAGTTTTCCTGTTATCTGTTATGACGGTCGTAGAAAAAGTATAGCTTGCAACACGTTTGGTAAACTATTTCATTAAGTACTCGCTCCTCTCGTGGCAAATAAACTCGTCAGTCGAATTCCGTTTACCGCACTTGTTGCATAATATACTATATCTCTCTCGTTTATTAACTCGTGAGTCAAATGCTGTTTACTGCACTTGTTGCATATTATACTACTACTTAAAAAATTATTGGATTTGTGGATGTAACAAAAAAATGATCTACATTGTTTTCCCTGATTACTTTTTGGTGACATTAAAGTTTGGACGGAAATAGTGGTCACCGATCTAGAGCATTTAAGTTTAAAAATTAAAAGATATGAAAATTCCAACAGCCACCTATATAATTGAATGGAATTTGCGTTATTAGGGTCAACCAATTAGATTCTGCTTATTGGGTAAATATAGAGAAACGTAATGGGAATGTGTCAAAGAATATTTTATCAAAAATTATCTTATAAGGTGAGATTTTTCACAAGAATTACAGAACACCTTAAAATTTTTTACAAGAGTCACCACTGTCATCTGTCGATTTGACAAACTGACAATGGCAATGTTGGTTATTGAATGCCGGTAGGTGTTATCGGTTGCCTTGAAACGGTAAACAGTCAAAAACGAATAGCTCTTCTCAATTTTTTTTTCATCGTCGCTTTAAAAATTCCTGTATTATCAGCATAGGCAGCCTATAGGTCTAATAGCTATATGGGTTAGCAATATAACTATTAGAGACATAGTGGCCCTGTCTATGCTGATAATACAGGAACGCATAAAGCAACTATATAAAAAAATGTGAATGTACAACACGCGCATGTGCGAGCTTTAAAATTTTGTATTTTAAAAAATGAGTTGCGGCATTCAACAACCAATATGGCCGCTGAGAGACATTTTTATGGCCGTATTATCTCAAAATATGCCTAGATCTCGTTAAATGTTCTAGTAAAACGAGTCAAATATGTGAAAATCGCTGTATAACCTGCAAAGTGCAGTCGGTGAAATTTAGAGGCATGCGCGGAAAATCATTCACTTCTCCACGAAAATATCAATGCTGCCTGCGGCACATCAGTTTTGACCGTAGTAGGGCCACCATATTATCCATATAGCTATTGGCCGAAAAAATGCTACATCCAAACTTACTGAAAATCTGTGAGTGGCCATATTGGTTGTTAAATGGACCTTTTTAAAAAATGTTTTCATAGTTGCTTCATAAGTTCCTTTATTATCTACATAGGCAGGGTCTCTATATCTCTACCCATGATATTGTCCAAGAGCTATATTTGTTTATAACTAGTAGTCGTTAATTTAAATAACCATCTTGAGATTAACGGGCAATTGACAATTTCTTGTATAAAAATTAGTTTTCGTTGAGATGAACAGCTGTCATAAATCATTAAAAACTGTGTAAATCTGAACATTTTTTGTTCTAATTTAATTTGTGAAAATTTTCTGTTTCTCATCATAGATGTGAAAAAAAAACAATCTTTTTGTAAAAGCTGTGTCCTATCGATCTTTCGTAATAACTTCTCCGTGTTTTAGAGATTTTGCGATTTCGCGTCGCGTATTCATTCGCTAACTGTGTGATATTTGCATTATTTAGAGTACCTTCGTAGCTAATTAATGTGCATATCAAGCAACGCGTACACTGCTGAAAAGAAATTTATGTCTGCATTTCAGTTTGCCACAATGACTAGATTATTTTTGAATCCAAAAAATGTTTGGTGCATTTATTCATAATGCGGCAGTACGTTTGGAAGAAACCTTTGCATTTTGCTGCCTATAACCGGTTCTAAGACGTCACGTCCCTACTAATCCTTAGTTAATTGCGTCTTGGAAAAGTAAACTTAAGCTTTAAATATACTATTGCAGCAAAAGTATCTAACGCAAATTGTTCAGTAAACTTTTTCCAATTTTCTCTCAATTGGTCACGTAGATGGAAATTAGTTTTTAAAGTGGAAGGATTTGGAACTGCATGTTTATGTTGCTAGCTAAACTCGATTTAATTAATTAAAGTACACTAATATTTCGCGGACGAATTCAGTCTTTGAGAACAAGGAAACGAACCAAAGTTAACACAAACTTACTCTAAAAACTGGATTGTCACGTTGCGTTGTTCGCCAGATTCCGACCGACTGCAAACGAAAATGTGTGACGTACCACATCTCTTAGTTCAACAGTTTGGTATTGTAGTTACATTGTGCCACAATAGCCATTCGGTCAAATAAAACAAAGAACCGAAATTATTTGATGGACATCTTGTTCATCCATCTTCTTTGATATTACAAAACTTCTGTAACAGTACCTTGTTGAAATTTTATTTGTTTACATAACATTTTTCCCGTTAAAAAGGTGAAAAGGTCTTTATTTCTGGAATTTGAATTTGACCTGGTATTGTATTACTATGTTGTTCGGCCATGTATTACGAAAAATATAAACCCAATGTAACATAATTTACAATGGACCTGCAACCTGAGAGTTTGACACAATCTACAATAATAATCGACTGATATAATTGACGTTATTTAAATTATTAGTATATGAGTTATAAATAGAAGTGTTATAAATAGCTTCCCACCATTATTCAGAATAGTTGCAATGTTTCAGTTA